CAGACAGATCTCTAAGCAGTCTAACAGAATCTGTGTTGTTTTTCTTTTGTATAACGTGAAGGTGATGAGCCAAGACATTCCTGTACAGTTAAATCCCACAAATAACACTCACAGTAAAATGCCTGTTCTTTTTCATAATTCCCAGAACATAATAAAACTTTGTTGTTATACTGCTGAACAGGAGGCTATTCAATTCTATTTCATAATTTTTGTTGTAGTGCTGAATCCAGCCACACAAGACACCAGAGGGGCCTCTCTCTCCTGCCTCCTCCCTTTGAAACACTCCACAGCTGAGGAAACACCATCCTTACCCCTCTTTGATGTCCTCATAGAAGCCCTTTTCTCATATCCAGCCCTTAACCATTACCACATCTCTGACTTCCTTGAAGGATTCACTAACCACCAAGCAGCAGGTTGCTCTTCAATTAGTCTGAAGTCAAAATTGAAGCACTGAAGCATGACCTAAAACACAAGGATTCTGTCTCCCTAGAGATTCTCTTCCAAACAGCAACTCAGCAGCTCTCCCTCTCAACAAATATTTTAAGTGCTTTATAATTTGAACCCTGGAAAGCAGACACAGAAACACCTACCCCCTACAATTAAATAGGGCTTTCTATGGTAAATGAACTCAGGGAGAAAGCTGACATTTTAACAGCAACATTCAGTTTAGGACACCCAAGTCATCACTGATAACAAGTATGTGCCGAGATCTGGAAGAAAGCTTTCATTGCCTTCCTGAAGGACTCTTATCTTACCTACTAAACTAATGAACATTCCCTTTGAGAACATTCTGACTTTCAAGCTTCTCCAGTCAACCTTCCAGCAGCAGCAACAGAACAAAACTTTCTAATAACATAAGCTCAAAATGTCAAGATCCTTCATGTTTTTAAGGAATTTTTGTGCAAAGGTCAGCTTGGAACCATAACAGAAAGAATCAGATGAACACCTGACTACTGCTACCTTATCATCAACTGATTTTTATTTGCTTTCAATATTCTTGCAGAGAATGTTTTCTCCAATTGGATAAACCCAAAGTACATAATCCTACCAGCTTTTGGAGAATACAGCAGTCTGTTCAGTTAGAGTCCTACAAAGGTACCTACTGTGTTTCAAAGAAGGCAAAAGCCCCTGTGTATGACTATTTTAAACAACCTGCAGTGGCAACATATCAAATCACAGCACAGGCTCCCCTGGAACAAACAATAGTTTATAGCATTAATACTCCTGATTTCTACTTTTAACTGCTGTTTCTAAAGGTGTATAAGCTGCCTAAAACCAAAATTATGTGACGGTAAACCTGCAGTTACTCAAAGCATGGAAATTAAATTACCCTGCATTTACTCTGATCCAGCTGATAACAGCATCTGGTACTTAAATTTAACTGAGTGGTGCCTGGAGGCTTTGGGAAAAGCTCTGGAATAACCTAGCTGTACCAGAGGCCTGGGGAGAGACATGGAGCAGAACTATCCAGCTAGCCAATACAAGAGAACAAAACCACCTCTTTAAATAGGTGTCACAGTAAGTCTGATTATAGGCTTCACAAACTACAAAATTAGCTGGAAAATGTGGTGTTCCCAGCCAGCTTCAGCAAGTGAAACAACTGCTAGAAAACGTGGCCTGTTAAAAGCACATAAAGCTTATGGCTGTAACTTCAATCTTTTCAGCTGCACACTCCATGGTTTTGCTTTTGTCATAGTATTTTATCTAAAGCTATTCTAAGCCACTGATTTACCATTTCATGTAACTCTTCATTCTTTATTCTTACCATGTCTTTGTGCCTGAGTCCATCGCAATTCCCCCCTGCTGCTGGTATTCTTATCCAGACTTCTCCATTACTGGATTCATTCCTAGAGTACAGCCTTACAACAATCCTTAACTAACATCACAACAGAAATCTCAGACATACGGATTTTTCATACTCTGTCAGAACAAATGCCTTCAAAGCAAACTGTGGCAACTAAATATCAGCACTACACAGTTTCTTCTGAGTCCCAAAAGATTCATTTTCAATTGTAGTTCAATCATTTTTACATTCACGGTTTGCAACTGACTGTCCTAGAAAACTGCTGTGTGCAAGTTCAATGCCATTAAAGAAACCAATGTAACAAAATACTTCAGTTCAAATCACCAGTTAGAGGGAAAGGTTGCCCAGGCAGAAATATTGCAGGTTTCCTAGTATGTTTATTTGTAAATAAACAAAACATATACGAGGCAGACACAAAGGTGAACAATTACAGAACCATTAGATGAACTATGACACAAAAAAATGCCTAACATACACCTGGTTTCACATCCTTGCATTTCCTTGCACTTTAGGAGATAAATAGATTCTTTAACTTCTTAATACTGAAGTCTACTAATTAGCTGCAATTATTGTAGAATCACAGACTCCCATACTGGTTTGGGTTGGAAAGGACCTTAAGATCATCCAGTTCCAACCCCCTGCCACATGCAGGGACACCCTCCACTAGAGCAGGTTGCTCCAAGCCCCATCCCACCTGTCCTTGAACACTGCCAGGGATGGGGCAACCACAGCTTCTCTGGGCACCCTGTGCCACCAGCCCAGCAGCTCACAGGGGAGAGCCTCTGCCTTAGATCTAACCTGAACTTCCCTTGTTTTACTTTGAACCCATCACCCTTTGTCCGGTCACTACAGTCCCTGATGAAGAGTCCCTCTCCAGTATCCTTGTAGCCCCCTTCAGACACTGGAAGCTGCTCTGAGCTCTCCACGCAGCCTTCTCTTCTCCAGGCTGAACAGCCCCAGTTGTTCTCTTTAAAACATTGAACTATCAAAGGCAGATATCCGTTTTTTTCTTCCTCTACATGGGAATATGTTGCCGAAACATTTTCTAAACATCTAAAAATCCTATATTGACCTTTGGGAACAGAGCCTTCAGCCATTAAACCACAGAAAAGCAAGTGTGGATGCACAGAAACATCCAAACCTCAGAAGGAAGACCCAGAGAGCTGAATGGCCCAGCCTACTCTTAGCATGAATCTGAACTGCTATGAACATGTTAATTTTCCAGCTATGATTTAAAGGTGCATTATCCTTACCCCATCTATCACCTCCATCTTTCTACTGAGATGTTTACCTCCAGCCAGCCCACAGTGCTGACTTCCAGGTTACCATCCATTCAAGTTAAGATCCTTTCTAACATGTCACCCATGATGTTTAAACCAATCATTCACATCCACAAAGTTTATATAGCTACCTATGTCAAAATACTACTCCAAACTCTCCTGAGGCATAATTCCACAAAACTTCTCCACAATAGCCTACTAATGCCCTCCAATGCCTGCTCTTGCCAAGACAATATAACCTCTTTAGTTTTCTACTCTTGAGGTGTTATGTGAGCAACTGTGAGCCTTACTTTTGCATTTAGAGCCAAGTTTTCATTGCATATTATTAGAGCAGGTACCATTCTCCACGTCTAGGCTGTATGTAGGACCCTTCTAGACAATGGCTGTAAGAAAATTACAAAGAAATTTAAAATACAGCTCGTGAATGTATTCCACAAAAGAACAGATCTTTCCTTTTGTAGAAAACTTTTATTTGTGATGTCACTTGCAAAAAAAAAAAAGATCTTTCTTTTGGTTTTACTGAATTTTTATATGATCATGACCTTAAAAAACCACTTAAGAGATTTCCACTGTGACCATTTAACTCCACCTTATGGCATCATGCTTTGAAATAACTGTACATGCAAGTCTGTGAGTCATAAGTGGCTGCAATTATCTTCCTTTAGAACGATTAGAAAATGCCATCTTACATTTCCCATCACTACACAATATTAGGCCTGGGTTTATTTGCCAAAGTAAGAGTTAGCAATATAGAACTCCATGTCTGTTGAAAATGTAATAATGGGGAACTTACCTCTACTAGTGCTTGGAGCTCCGATCACCCAATTTAAGGCCCTTGCCAGGCTGCAGCACAGTTGTCTTCTGTTGCGGCCACCTTCCATTCTCATTGCAAAAGGGAGAACAGTGTCTCTGTCTGAAGTTGTATGGAGATACTGCTGCAGCACACACATAGGCACAGAGAAGGGAAGCGCTACTGGGTCTCACAAATCACATGAATTGAAGCGAACAGTTACAGTGTTTGTCAAACAGTCAATGATACCAGCATCATTTCTGCTCAGATTATTAGGCAGGGGGAGCAGCAGCCTGTTGGTGAAAGGCTGCAGACAGCACAGATGTAGCACAATGAGAGAAAGATTTCTGGGGGGAGCAGATTAGGGAGCATTCCAGCATGAGACAAACACACCACCGGCCACAGGAGCATGCAAGTGCCTACAGCAACTCAAGAGTCTACAACAGCACAGATGGCTTGTAGTGACCGACCACCAAGAACACAGTTCTCTTTCTGCACTGCTCTCAGGTTCGTTTCCAACCACCACAGATTCTGGAAAGTCCTAATTCTGCTCTGGAGTTTAACCCTGTGAGGAACAGTGATTTCTAAAACAAGCCACAAGAAGCTGCACCTTGGTCAAGGTCTGTACTTGCTGCTCCTGCTCTGCAATCAGCATCCCCTTTGTCCGCGTTCCGATGGGACCACTGCACTTGGTGCACAACTCCAAAGTAAGGAGCCCCCGTTTTAATGCACAACTCTGAAGTAAGGAGCCCCTGTTTTAATGCACAACTCCGAAGTAAGGAGCCCGTTTTAATGCACAACTCCTAAGTAAGAAGCCCCTGTTCTACTGCACAACTCCGAAGTTGGAAGCCACTACTTTAATTCAGCGAGCTACCACCCACAGGCAGCTCTCACTGGCGGCAGTAGCTCTGAGGGCTGAGCTCTCCCTCACGCTGCTACGCTAATACGCCAGGCGCATAAGCCCCGAAGCACAGCAAAGCACACACTCATGGGCAAATCCCTTTTCCTTCTTACTGTTTTAAGCACAGCCACAAGTTTTCTGTCAGCCAGGGCGAGTTTGACCGCCTCGGGCCGGGCGCGGGGCTCGCCGTGAAGAGGCGCTCGCTCCCCCCGGACGAGGCCGCACCGCCATGGCGCTGAGCGACCCCTCGCACCGCTGCACACGGGTCTCTCCTCACGACACGGCTCGCTCCGCGCTAGCTGGACTGTGCTCTGGTACCGCCGCTGAGGCGCCGCTTCCCGCCCGCTGCGGGCTCAGGCGGCGGGCGCTGGGCGGGCTCCCGGGCCTCCCGTGAGGTACGGCTCGGGCCGCGGGTCAGCGGAGGAAGCCCTTCCTCAGGCCATGGGGTGAGCTGTCACTGGTGACCTACCACGAGGTGAGAGCTCAAGTGTCCCGGTTGGAGGTGTTTCCCACCCGGGGGGGCTTTCAGCAGGAGCCTGGCCGCTCAGCGCTAACACTTAATCCACTGACTCCCGTCTGGCTGCTGGAGGTGACAGGAAGCTCCAGGGCTGGCCGCTCGGAGGGTACCAGCTCCCTCCATCAGCAACTCAGCCGCTGGTCACTTCTCCATTTCCTTAACAGCTTTTCAACAACTGAGATTATTTTCTTGAAGGAAATGCTTGAGGACTAGAAAAACCCTGATTGTATAAAGCATGCCATGAAAAGGGGTAGGTGCAAACCCCATTATATCTGTCAGTCACCTGTGCAAGGCTGGAAAGTGAAATCCCTTCTCTGTAGCCGCAGGGATTTTGCACTGCATTAATAATTGTATATAGCACTTGGGCAGTATCCTTGAGGAATCTGCAGTACCATGGCTTCAAATCACACGATGACTTGTAGCCCGATCCCATTCTCCTGTTCAATCCCAGCTGGGACAGCCAACGTGGACACAAACCTAAGAATCTGTGTATAGGGCTTAAGTTAGATTTTGCTTTGTTTTCAAATGAGTTGATAAATGTTGTTAGCATTTACTAACATTTGACCTGAGAAGTTCATTGCCCTCCAATGTGTGTAAAATGGGCAACAACTAAACAAGCAGCAACAATAATGTTTGGCTTTCTGTCCATCCGTCCCCCTAATAACCACACGAAAAGGTTACTTTGTCTGAAAGAAAGAGTTTTATTTTGTGCATTTCAGAAATAAGTGAATAATGACATCTAAAATCAGGTGTTGCTGTGCTAGGCAGACACATGTAAAACTTGTCTTTCCATTTACATGACAACACGCAGCATGGAAGGATACCTGATTTCACCTGAATTCAAGTTAATAATCTCCGAGTAAATCAAGAGCTATTAACTACGAACACTGGAAACAGTCAAAATTATTTCAACTGAGAGGAAGAGAAGACGGATGTGTCATTACCATATAGATCAAGAAACACCAACTGGAACACATGGATTCACAGTTCTTACCGAGTTACTTAGCTTATTTCTAAAACACATTTTAGTGATTATAACTTTGCATTACTGAGTTTCTGAGTGTGTAATATAAATGATACTAATGAATGAAAATACAGTTCAGGATCAGTCAACATGTCAGCTATTTTTAGGTGATAATGGTTTAGGTATAGAGTTCATCTAGATGAATACGAGCCCATGAGTGTTAGATGTAACACTGCTTTCTTCCCTCTTCATTTTTAAACTGTCTCAACACAGTGTTGAGTAGCTTTGTGATAAACACCACCACCCAAAAAATCCCCCAACAGTTACAACCTCAAATCTTACTTCTGTTGCTACTTAACAGCAAAGTCAATCACTAGGATACGTATTTTTTCCTATTTAACTATGCTCAACAAACCAGTGCAGAAGCAACATTATAAATGGGCATGTTGAGAAGTTCCATAACACGTACTTTGGTGTACACAGTGGTGATTTAGCTTTAAAATTGTACTAGTGAATGGGAAAAAAAACCCTAGCAGTGACAAATATGCAGTCTCTATCACCAGTGCAGTTTGCAAAGCAGTGGAAGGTCATCTGGAATAACATAGGAAGGCTTTGATGATTAATTTAACATTTCTTTTTCCAACACTGAAAGAGGGCTATTGCCAATGTACACAATTTAAAATATTTTTCAAAAGCCCTCAGTAGCTCTTCCAATTTTAAAATGGTTTCATCAAGTCAGAATGATTTTTCCTGCCATATTGTTCCTGCTTTCTAAGCCATAGGAGCTATAAAAACATACCTTCAAATAACAAATGAGAAAAAATAACGAGAAAAACAGTAAAAAGCTAGTGATACACCTCAACATCATCAAGAATTTTGGAAGGTTCAGTAAATGGTGAAAAATATTTTATACGCCTCTTCCACAATACAAAAGTAAATCTGTGGCTGACCTTTCAGTAATGCTTTCAAACAAATGACATCTCTCGTGCACTGTGCTGAGAAATATAAGCTTTCCAACCCATGCACTGCAGCACTCAAACTGAGGTGTAATACAGGCCCTGCCTATTCAATTCAGAAGGGACTTCAAATGTTTCCTAGCCTTTCAAAGTCTAAATACAGCCACTTCTTACAATTCATCTACCTTCAGCCTGTTAACTGGCCCTTAAGTATATCTACCTGTAACACATCTCCCAGAACAAGACAGCACACTTGCACTGTACTTAGCGTATAGAAACTTTAAAATATGGATATAGTGAGAACTTGACATGTGTTATTAGTGCATTTTAATTACATCCTGTGTCTATTTTTTCAGCTTGTGCTGTCTAACATTAAGAAATGCCATTAACAGTTTTGCTGTCCCTCCCTTGTGATGTAGGAAGTGTTGTCATCTTCGCTCTGTCTCCTTATTATACTAAGATGGAAAACTCACAGAATCACAGAATATCAACAGGGAGTTGAAAATTACCAGCTGTGCTCCTGTCAAACACCCTTCCATGTGGGAACACTGAAATGAACTCCGTTAGGGCATATAGGCATCCAAATCTGGCAGAACATGGTTTACATCATGTTCACTGGTGCCGTTCCCAAGCAACAGTACATAGAGGTAGGATGCTTTTTCTTATTGGTGTAATTTCAAAAGGCCTAGAAACATTCTGTTCTCTGGTAGCCTACTGCTAAACTTTCTTCTCACTACTGTTGTGTTTCCACCTGCTTCAACAGAGCTAGGATCTTCCTAAGAATAAAGGGCCAAGGTGACTATATCACTTCCATAAATTAAGCAATTGAACACATTGACTTCTGTATCCTTGGCCTCCATCAACATGTGTTGTATGGGCACATACACGCTTCTTATGAATTCCCCATGGGGAAAGCCAGGTTTAAATGAAGGTTTCCTGCATGGCCCACAGTATTTTAAATAAATGGAAAAATGGAGCAGTGTGGGATATTGCCTTATTCTTGCTCAAGTTAACTTTCAAAGTAGTTTAGAAGTTTTGAAAATTTTTTATACAACTTAAAAGGTTGGTTTATTACAGCATTTGTAAATTTTATTTCTGGGGCTGCTTAATGGAGTGTTCAATTGAACACATAAAAAACATCCTGTAATATAGTTCGAGAGACAACAAGTTATGCCTTCATTAATGTATAGTGCCACATCACAAACCGTACAAAACTCAAAGGTGTACGATAGTGTATGCCCCTTTAAGCATGCATTTGCAAAACAGCCATTTACTCTTTATGAGACAACAAAACCAGAGCTGTGCTACTCATTTTTAGCTCAGCAAAGAGCTCCCTTTGTTACATTAAGATTTTGATTCAAAAAGTCTAAAAAGAACAAAGCTACTTTTAAGTTTGTGCATATGCTTAAACTTGCTCCTGAAGTAAAAGTTTCTGCATTAAGTGTGCACTGCAGTTTTGTTTGATTGTCGTGGCCTGATTTTCAAATACACCACCCAAGCCCCACACAGTTAGAGGCAAGGGAGCTGCTGGCATTCAGCATCTTTGAAAGTCAGGACACAGCTTCACTGGTTGTGCAGAACAGGACATTTCCCTGCAGTATAAGCCAAGTGTTCATTTATGCCCAATAATAAGACCACAGAAGTTTGATCAAAATCAATGAACTTTTACAGGTCATAAAGGATTTCAAGGATAACCCCAATAGACCAGGCCTGACTTTCACAGCTGAAAGGGCAATACTGTCCATTTTCATTGGTCAACTCTGGAAGCCCCTTCCAGGATGATCTGATAAAAGAAAAAAAAAAAACAAACAAGTACTCTTGTTAGATTATACATTGAAATTAATAGAACATTTCGGTTTAAAATCATTCAGAAAGTTACCTAGTAGGGATTGAAAACCATGACTAAAGGTCTGTTGTCCTACAGGCAGTCTGTACTTTAATAACTGTGATGTAGTGATTTTTCCTGCAGCTGGGAATTGTGGTTTTTGCGGGTGCCTCTTCTTCAAAGTAGATTCTCTGCTACTAGTAATATCTGAACTTACACTGCTGTCATGCTGCTCCTCTTTGTCATTCAGGTAGTTATGCAGTTGGAAGAACAGGAATGATATTTGAGATAACTGAATGGTATCAAGCCACACTTGAAAGTGGATTATGGTGGATTATTTGGTACTACTACAAAACAAGACACTGGGACAAGACACTATGTAGTCCAAAAAGTTGCTTAACAAAACCCTTTTATCATGACCAGTTCTACTGAGTTACTTTTATGCATGTCTGAAGTACTGCAGAACAGATTGTATGGAAGAGATATCAAGGGCAAGATCTTTGTGTGTTTGTTTTCATTTGTCTCAAATCCTTAAGAATTAAAAATATAACAGAAAAAGGGAAAAAAAACAGTGCGGGGTTGGTGGTTTGGTTTGAGGGAGAAGTCAAAATGCAAAGGTAATTCTGCCCTCTCAAAATATCAAGAGTATTAAGATTCTGAAATACTAATTTCCTCATTTCTAACATAAGAAGTCCTAACTATGCTTTGCAGCAGCTTATCTGAAACACAAGTTTCACCTCAACATGAGGAAGAACTTCTTTATGTGAGGGTGTCAGAGCCCTGGCACAGGCTGCCCAGGGGGTTGTGGAGTCTCCCTTCTCCCTCTCTGGAGCCATTTCAAACCCACCTGGACGCATTCCTGTGTGCCCTGCTCTAGGTGGCCCTGCCTTGGCAGGGGTTGGACTGGATGATCTCCAGAGGGCCCTTCCAGCACCCATGGTTCTGTCTGATCTGCCCCAATTTTATCTGTCACTACCAGCCCCTTCATGATTTTGTTTTGCAAGTTGTTTGGAAATATGTTTTATTTTAAAAAACAACTCACCAACTTTTTTTGTGAAATTAACTTTTTGTATGACACTAGATCCTAATTTTTAGATAAGGTTTATTTCACCCAGTCTTTACATGGGTGTTAGTAATTTTGCAGTCACTAAGAAGCACTAGAGCTCAGCTGTACTTAAAACCTGACTTGATATCTGCAATAGCACTTACAGCAGTGAACCTTCTATGTAGAAAACAGATGCTGTTGATATTATAGATGTGTATAGATGCAATTGGATAGTGGATATCAGTAGGCTGACTGAACACTTGGAATCTGTATTAGTTGGTGTCTTACCTTTCAAGGTGAACATAGTGTCGAGAAAGAACATTCTTAGTCATAACTACAGTTTTTGCATAGATCTCTGGACCAAGCAGCTTGGAAAAGTGCAGTTTGGCACGAAGAAAATAGCCAATTGGCCACAGCCATTCCTAAGCAAAGAACAAACAGAGACAATTAGAGCTGTCAGTTTGAAATGGTAACAGCACTTCTTCTAAAGCTGAAGAAACTGGCTCTTACAGGTCCTTGGTGATAATTAAAACCTCTGGCTACATTATAGTTGTCGTTGTCAAGAGCATTATCATACACTCCACAGTAAACCATATCACTGCAAGGAAGAAAAAAGAAATTATACAAAGCCTTAAGAATAACGATACATAAAAATGGAATGCAGAAGTGGCCCAAAAATTTGTTATATTTTTTTTACATTTAAGGATGGGTAACGTAGGGAGTTCTCTGCCAGGTTCTGTGTTTTGTGTGACAACGGAATTCCAAATACAGTTTAAACTTGTAGGAAAACAGTTAAAGTCTTGGAATGACTTCAGATTAATAATTTTACCCTTGTATGTTTAACTCAAACTGTAGTGCTGTTCACTGTATCATATGTAAGTATGTATCAAGATACAAGTTCAACACATCTCTTATGACACCAAATTTGACTAGCTTACTGTGTGGCATCCAAAACCACAGGTGGCTGTCTACAGGAATAACATCAATTTCATGGGTTTTTAGAACATTAAAAGAATTGTTCTGGAAACATTTATTGGAGCCTTATTTCACAGGTATATACGAAATAAGAAATACTACGCCCATGTGTCAAATAATCACAACTGTCATGTTCTACAATGAACATTTATTTCTACAATACTTACTCTGGATCTAAGGTTAAGAAATAAGAAATACTACCCCCATGTGTCAAGTAATTCCCACTGTCACATTCTATAATGAACACTTATCTCTACTATACTTACTCTGGATCTAAGGTTTTCATGCCTAATGGACCAAGCAGCTTTTCCTCTGCTATCTGCAGAGCTTTCCAAGCTCTCTCAGGTGTGAATAACTCAGGGGCCTAATCAAATAATAAACATTTAATGAGTAAACTCTATGCGTGCACACATGTAAGACTGCGCATACAAATGTAGAAGAACACAAAAAGCTCCAGTTTTATACTACTGAATCAACTTCTGGAACCTACAGGTCAGAGTAAGCAAGAAGACAGAAGACATCAATGCTTTCCGGCATTTAAAATAAGAATTAACTTGCCAAGTATTATTGCTGAAGCTCTTCACAAACCCGATAAAGACAAACAACCCATGGTTTTTAGCCAATCTGACAGGAAAAGCAGCCTCCCAGATCTAACCTAAAGAGACATTCTGAATACAGCAAACACTCCAAATTCATCCTAGCTATACCCTGGACAGCAGGTTCATTTAGGCAAGTCTAGCCAAGGATGTATTTCTTAGGACATACTCCAAGATGGACCAATATTAAAAGCATGGAAAAGCTTTCAAAGTTATTCTAAGCAATATAATGCCAAGCAAATGGACCTTACCAGGCAAGCTTAGCTCAATAATAAAGAGAATTTCAAGTGCAAATGCTTCCCCCCCCACTGCTCCTCACTTACCACAACCATGGCTATTGTAAAGTTTGGCCTGAGTTGGTAATCACACCACGGACTTGAAGCTCCGTAGCTGTCCTTATAAATGCCACGTTTGTGAACGAGATTGGGATGTTTCTCATTAGGATCTGCTGGGTTCTCAGAGACAAAGAAGAGCCTTTCAAAGTGCTCTTGGATTTTTCTGTTCCATTCATCATATGTGATGGTCTCCTCCCTTCCTGCAAGATGTTACATACAGGGGTTACTTTGTGAGAACAGCCACAGTGGTAACACCAGCAGTGTATGTATGTGTGTGTCTGGTTTTTACTGTTTTGCTTACTGAAGTTTTACATAAGATATCCTAACACAAGAAAGGCCATAGTAGCATTGCAAAGAGTTACTATCTAGAAGTTGAATTCTACTGCAGATGAACTCCAACACATGCACCACTTTTTTACACAGCTAGCTAGAGCAAACAGTGTGGGGTACTGTGATCTACAGTAAATAGTAAATTAACTTTAAAATCTATACTTAACAGTGCAGCATGGTAACATGTCAGCTCTTTTATAGTCCTTGGTATACATATTCGTGCTCTTTTGGACACTTCAAAGACAGTCTCAAAACATTAGGATAAGCAGCACTTAAAAGCTTTCTTTTCATATATTTTCTATATAGTTTTAAAATAAATTCAACAGCAGAGGAATGAAATTTAAACCCAGTTACGTGAGATTAGAAAAAACAGGGAATGTCCACAAATCAAACTGAATGTAAAGAAGCTGCTTACAACTCTGGGACAAAAAAGGTAAGGCAACTCCTATAAATAATATTTCTACATCTACAGATTATAACATTGCTGTGCACTGAAATCTAAGCTGTCTTGCTCTGGCTGTGTATTTGAAGAAATCCTGAGATGACAGGTAAGTTCATGACCTAAGAATCTGTTGTGTCTAGGACTGACAGGAAAACACATTCATATTTTCTAAAAGAGAATAAAAGAACCAGTAAGCTAACTGCTGTCCAATATTCTCCTTCACTGGAGGGTAAGAAAGCTTTACAGGGCATGTATATTCACTTGGGCTAGGTAAGCTCAAAGTAACTCTGTAACAGAGCAGCATCCCTCTGAAACATATGGGACAGCTAAAGATATTGATGTAAAAATTCAGAGGAAATGGTGTTCTGTGTTGTGAATATTGGGACAGAAAGAGTGTCTTGGACATTTTACTTGGCATCCTTGTAAAGAGTGATGCAGTCATTGTAACATACACTAATCCCATCACTTGCATCCATTTTGAGAAATGTTATTAGACTCAAGAATCCTTTGGAACCCACACCTTGATATATGGAATAAAATACTTGAAATAGAGCAGACTGTCAACTCAATCATTTTTCTTTTTTTAGTAACAAAAGATATTAAATCATACAAGTTTCTTTCCCAAGTTTTCCCCCCTTTTTCCCTTACGCCTTCCTGAGTAGTCTGATAATCATCCCTGATGCTATATGGCCATGACTGCACCATTCTGGTTATTTTGATACTCCAGTAAGGCAAGTATGAGATGTGCTTGTTTTTACCGTGTCTTTTTACAGTGACTCCATGGAATGGAAACACATTTTTCCCAGATAATTCCAGCAACCAGCGAACAGCTGACTTGCACAAGCCAACAATTTCCACAGCAGAGCCATCTCTAAAGTAATGATACAAAAAAGTGCAAGAATTACTTTAATGGCCTCTCAAAGCAATAGGTAACTGAAAAAAATATATCCGTATCTTATTTAGACACTTCATTTTCCCCGATTCTTCTGCTATTCCCCCATTTCTCCTATGTGAGCATCCCAAAGTTCTACAGTATTGCAGTATTACGTGAATTGCAGTGATTTGTGAATAACAGCTCCATCATCACCACTATTCATCATTTCCTAAACTGCAGTCAGACCTTTCCCACCTATGAAATAAGACTGAAAATGAGTTCTTAGACACTCCAGTCTCTCCTTGCAAGGCAGCTACTCCATCCCTTTGAGCCTTCACTGCCCTTCTCCATACCACCTTTATCATGCCCTTCCTGAGAGCAGCACTACACAGAACACTCAAGATAACAAGTGTATCTCTCAGGTACAAAGTTCCACCAAGAGGCAGAATAATGCCCTCTGTCTTGTTCTAAAAACCTTTACTGATGACACCCAGTGTTACTGGGTTTTATCAGCTTTTTTGGCTGCTGCTCAACACTAAGACATGATTTCAGAAAGCCAGCAATTGATTTCCATCCTGTGTGGTAGCTCAGTTCTGACAGCACTGTATAGGCATGGTTTAGACTATTTTTGCCCTAAATGCAAACTTCATCTTAACTCCATCCACACTGAAGCTTATCTGCCACTTTAAAGAATGCTCAGTTTTATGTGGCACTTTTGAGTTTCATGAAGGGCCAAAAATAAAAGACCCAAGCTGGGTCAATTTACTTTTGTTTAGATCAGTAGGATTCTAACTGATGAAGAAACTATGGAGGAAAGGGTGGAAAACAGGTGAGGTTTTCTACCAGCTAAGAGCAAGGAAACAAGCTTGATTGCAAACTGCCCAAGAGATACTTTTTTTTTAATCATATCCAGCTAATTTGAACAGATTTAAGATAATTTCATACCAGTGACTAAGAACATGTGGTTAAGAACATGAAAAAAACAGATCATCCTCAAGCAAGTTGGTCCTCTGCTGTTAAAACTGTGTTCAACACATTGCTTCTCTGCTTATCTTAATGCACTTTGGTAACTTGGGTAATGCTTCTACTGTATTAGATTACTCAAGTAAAAAATGAAGAATTAAAATAAGCACTAAATGCACTTCTTGGACTTGCCTTTTTTGTCAGATGATATTCAAATAATCACCATGTGCATAGATCTCGTATTGTATTGAATTTTACTGCCTGCTTGATGCAAAATTTCTCTCCAGCAGCATCAGTGATTTAGCCTCTTTAGGGGCAGTTCCCTCAATATCCCCCAGTTCTCAATTCAATTGCCTAACTTGTCTTCTTCCAATTCTCACCCACAGATGGCAATAGTACAGCATCAGTTTCAGATCCAAAGTCAAGCAAGGATGCCTGCAGCAATTTGTGAACACAGAATTAAGAGCTTGTTTTTAACATGTTTCATCCCAACTTCAAGAATTTAGATAGAATCATAGAATCCAATACTGGTTTGGACTGGAAATAACCCCCCTGCCATGGGTCTTGAACATTGCCAGGGATGGGGCAGCCACAGCTTCTCTGGACACCCTGTGCCAGCACCTCAGCACCCTCACAGGGAAGAGCTTCTGCCTTAGATCTAACCTGAACTTCCCCTGTTTCAGTCTGATTCCATCACCCCTTGTCCTATCGCTGCAGTCCCTGATGAATGTGTCCCACTTTAACTGCATAGTTACCGTTTGGCCACTAACTTTTTGTAACTGTGCTTGGTAATCCACATGCTCTGTCAGTTGACTGCTATGTGCTCTTTCATAACTTTGAAACCATCACCCCTTGTCCTGTTGCTACAGACCCTGATGAAGAGCCCCTTCATCGCATGGTAGGTATTTTTGAATTGTAAATAGCAAGTACTCAAATGATACAATTATCAACAGGTATCTCTTCTAGTATGCCTAAATAACAAAATACTGCTAATACTACTTGTACACAGTTTTTCCTAAACTACATTTTACTACTTGAATTCCAAAGCCAACTCTTAGCAGGGAGCGAAGACCATGCTAGAAGCTGAGGGCTGCATCTGCTAAGAACACACCTTTCATTTTACTTCAAATGAACAAAAAAAGAAAAAAAAAGCATGAACATTTTAGTAGGCACAAACTGTTAGAATATTTGAGAGACCACCTCTCAGATGTGTTAATGGAAGGCACAGTAGGCCTCGAGCTGTGCCAGCGGAGGAACAACTCCTTCCCCACAGGGTGCTCAGGCATTGGAACAGGCTGCCCAGGGCAGGGCTGGAGTCACCGTCCCTGCAAGTGTTCACACACTGTGGAGACGAGGCCCTCAGTGCCATGGATTAGTGGTGGCCTTGGCAGTGCTGGGAATGGTTGAACTGGATGACCTTAAAGGTCTTGTCCAACCCAGTGTATTCTATGATTCTGCAGGAGAACTGAAGTTTAAAACTCCCCTCCGTTCAAAGATCCTCCCCTTCCCAGCCTGGATTTCACACCTTGGAGTAGCTGGAATTCCTTTGTTGCGAGCTCTGTCGCTCTCTCCCATTTTATCCATCCAAGTGCCACAATTGAAACGGTTCCCTCCAAAGACAAAGCCAGTTTCATGGTCAACCCCTGCAGTTACATTAAAACCTGCCAAGAAAGAGTATCACATGTGAAGTCATTTTTTAAGCAAAACAAACCCCCAACTTCTCCCCTCTTCCCCACGCCAAACCTTCTAAATAAACCAAACCCTCCTCCAAACAACAGATCTGAGGTGGGTTTCTGAAGCAACTTTAACTTAAGTCAAGATTTATTTAAGGATAATTTGTACCACAACATGTAACAGTTGCTGATAATAAATGTATTTAAATAAATATAGTTTTAGTTGCATTAAACATTATTAGTTTTTCAGAAACATACTCAAGACCTAAACAAATATAAGCCATAACCAGCACCTTTTAAATTGTATAGCAAGTGTTCTGTTACCTTCATCTCTCATATTTTGATCTATCTGTGGACCGGCATTCCTTTCGCGGAAATTTATGCCTTCCATGTGTCGTTGCATTGCTTCCTGTATTACTTCATAGAGTGGCTGATCCTAGATGGATTGCATGTTGGGATGATACGTGAAAGGCAAGATGAAAAACGAGCAGAAAGGCTGTATCTAATGTGCAAACAAGTAGCAATTCTTAGCCTCTAGTTTGAGGCTTGAAAAGCCCCATCTATTATTTTCAGTAGCATCTTTGTCAATGGCAATACATTGCATACAAATTTTAATACTTTAACATTCCAAGGCAAAAAGCAAAGAACAAATTTAGAAGCTCATGGAATTTTTTCTCTCCATCCTACTCCCCACACTTGTCTAATCGCGTGATGCAGGTGAAGCAAGAAGTGCCTAAAATATGGAATTCAAATTTCACCATAAACACAAGATTTAACACAACTATACATTCCTAATGAAATACTTAAATCAGAAGGGATCTTTACCACAGTGCCCGCACGCTGAGGAGAAGAGTCATCTGTTGGATACATCCGAGAAACAGGACACCTGAGAATGTCTAATCCATTTGGCACAATTGTACAGTAGTCCTGGATACACTGAAGCCACCACCATACAGCATCTCGACAGTTGTACCTCGCATGTGTCCCCTGGCCAAGCAGATTGGGAATGAGACCATGTCTTAAAGTCCCACCAAATGCTAAAATGATGTTTCTAGAACAAAACAAAAACACAGTCTTGACTAAGTTACTTTCAAGACCCTTACTGGACTGAGCACTAAGTACAAAGCATACAAGTTTTTAGCAAGGTGGGTCAAGGAGACACACAGGATCTCAAAGAGAGATGCCAGAAGTTTGCTGGTGAAAGCTACAAGTTATTTCATTTGGCATTACTTCTTCTATAATAAAACCTCTATTCCCTATCAATTCCCCAACATGCATGCATTCGAGTCAGTCTGTGCAAAACATACAACATCTGCTGATATGACAAAGCTAGTTTGCTTTTTCATAGCTAACACTATAGAACCTATATCCAAATCCCACCAAGGTCACAGGGAAGGATTTTATTGACATTGTTTACCCTGGAATTCATTCTGATGGGGATCTGGGGTGGAAGGGGGATGGAGGGCAGGAGTAGATCGGAATTTCCTATTAAGATACAAAGAGGTGATGGCAACTGAAGTTATGAGGAGTTTCATTTGAGAACCCTTGCACATACCTTGAATAAAACATGAATTCCATCCAGCTTTAGAAGGGAATATAAACATACTAGTAGACTGCAGATCTTACTGCATGAGAAAGGTAATAGTTATCATAGAATCCCAGACTGGTTTGGGTTGGAAAGGACCTTAAAGCTCATCCAGTTCCAACCCCCTGCCATGGGCAGGGACATCTCACACCAGACCATGTTGCCCAAGGCTCTGTCCAACCTGGCCCTGAACACTGCCAGGGATGGAGCATTTACCACTCCTGTGGGCAGCCTGTGCCAAATGTACAACAGCATGAACAAATACCAACTTAAACCAATCAGTTTAAGCCAATATTTATGTCTGCATCATGTGGCAACCTCTGTCCAAATTAAATATTAACAAAGTATCAAATTAATGCAACAATGATGCGGGTACATGCGAAACACAGTGGCTTTGTTTAAGGATAAGAAGTAGTGTTACAGGAATTAGAACTACCTTAATCTATACAGAACATTGGGTTCATGGTGCTAAGCAAGCAAGAGAAAGTCATTTAAGTAGTATTGAATTTCACTTTGGGAGTGCTCCCAAATCCATCCAGGGCCATTACAGTTTTATACTGCACATCAACTGCTTCTAACTCCTGTGTGTCATCCTACTTTGAGACCATGCCTTTTTCCTAACTAACTGCAAAACCAGGAAGAACTGAATCTAAGCCAGTCTCCTACCTTGCTTCTAGATAGCGCCCAGTAACCAGCATTAGACCTCTCAGTGCAATAAAGGTATCCCTTCCCCAGGAGCGAAAAATTCCAGAGGAAAAGTGAGGTAAACCTAAACAGAAAGGTCATTGTTTGTCTCATTTGTTGATAGAGCAGAAATCTCCATGCACACACGTACACATAAAATAATCACAAGTAAGAATATATTCACGTTTATCATGATTTTTCTAGATGAAGATATTGAAACAATCTCCCCAGCCAAGTTCTTGATAGAATTAAATAAAACCTCATTTTAGAACATCTGCTAGAATTTCGAGATCATGCAACAGAAATTCTCACCTCAGTAAGAGTCCCATTTTAATTAAGTCACTTTGTAACTTAACCAAGTGCCACCCTTTTAATTACAGGAGCAGAAAGAAAACTAACAACCAAAAAGCCAGAGCTATGTGAGGATTTACACTGCTTTGTCAGCAGGGTTACTGCAGGAGGGCCATCCATCTCAGTAGTACAAAGGGGACAAGGCTGAAGCGCTATGCATTTGTTCAGGCCAAAACTGTTCTCAGCCAGTATAAAAGGAATCCTCCTTCTCTTTTCCAGCAGCTTCTAGTACTACATCTTATTGCAGACTTCTAATACCTAACTCATGATTCTGACTGATACAGCTTAATAAGTATGGTTCAGGAGGGTCCATCCTTGTGTTTACTTCCATTTATTAACCTGAAAATTTAACTTACTGGACAAAAAATTCCCCTTGGTGAAGTCTTAAACCAGCAGCCGCTGGTGCATGCTTGACAGAACAACGTTTCAACTTCCCTCACCTACCTGTCCAAAGTATTTGCTAACACTCAAATTCTGCCTCCACACTTGTGGATTTTATGGTACATGACAAGAACACTTGAGAATGAATCCATGTACAAGTTTAAAATCTGAGACACAACTACCACTGAGTATGTGAAGGGAATACGTAAACTCAAACCCTTTGGTGTAATTAATCTTCATGACCAGTTTAAGGGAACACTGTGCCTCTTTCCTGCTAGGTAACACTAAAGCAGTTAGATGGAATGTAACTAAAACCCAGAAACCAGAAGCAGTAAAATTCTGTGACAGATGGCAGAAAGGAGGAAATAAACATCCCATTGACACAGATGCCACAGACTCTGTGGATGTGAAAAGTTTCTGTGGTTGCAGAAAAGGAATGGGCCAGCTCAGAACAAAACTGAATTCATTCTAGGCCACTAAACACAGGAGATAATACTTTGGACATAGGAAAGTGCCCAGTTTAAAGACTGCAAGATGCTGGCTGAACATCAGGAGCTATAAGCACTATTTGCTGACTGCTTTTATGCTCTTTCCTTTTGGAGAGTTTCAGATCAGGCGTTTTGCTCTGCTAAAGGCTCTTTTTCTCTGAGAACTTGTGAAAAATGAATTCACTCTTGTACTTCATTACAATTCAGTTTTTAAATCCATGTTTAAAGGAAGATAAACTAAAGCCTATCACACCAAGTCTATTTATCTCAAGCAAGTCTCCTGGAAAGAGAGAACATACTTATGGATCTCCATATATGATAAAGAAAGGTATTTTTATCTATATCCACTAAATAAAGTGTTTATAAGCTCCATCTCCCATTCCCCAAGAGCAGTAACAAAATGGGTTTCTCAGAGTAGTACCACTAGACAGAGCTCCCATAGTTTTAAACCTGAAACCTAGGGGAAGGGCAAGTAAAACTGCTGCCTATGTTTTATACCTACATTTTATTCCTGGTTGCTGACATAATGGATCCCAAACACAATGGAGACACTTCTAAATACAGTTACTAAGGACAGCTGAACTATTCTGGAAGACTTTTAACATTGTCCTCACTTACCAGCTGCCAAGGAAACACAACACTGCTCTTTCACATTCGTAATCTCATTCAGCCTATAGGGAACATCACGCAAGGAAGGAGACAGATCTGGCAGGCAGGAGTATCTTCCTATGCCACACATCTGGATCGAACCCAAGGAAAGGTGTTTCACAAATGTTGATCCATTCTGCACAAAGCTGCAATGCAACATAATTCAATTAAAATAAATTCATTTTCAGCAACATCAATCTATCCTTTTTCATTTACCAATAACTACTGTAAGTATTAGGCATAATGAATACAATAAACTAACAATGGGTTAATATTTCTATTTTGCAGTACATAAGATTCAGTTTGTAAATCAATTTTTTCCCCCAAAAATGGATGCCCAATATTAGTCTTAAAATTCAATTTAACAACGGCAGTGGGAGTATTGATGACAAATATTTCTAGGGAAAAGGGCAAAACCAAAAGCTTGGTTTACATGATGCCTTCATAGAGACCTCAGACCTGAAAAATATGAGGAAAGATATTTTACCGTGAACAAGAGCTCCTGTCAAACCTGTTGTTTTTTTTTTTAAAGAAAGATCACCGCATATTAATATATATTATCATACATAAAAATGTATAGATCAGTGAACACTGTCCAAATTAATGCAGCCTGTGTTCCTGACAAGTCCAGGCCCAAACCTTTTTTTATGGAATGTACCCCTTTGCACAGGAGTTCGCTGCCACTCCAAATTCTAGTCCCATTTTAACATCTGTATTTAAAACACCCCAAACCTGACTTGCTCAGAGTGCTCATAACTAGAATAAAGCCTCCATTAAATCCATCTCCCTTCCCTTTCCAAGGGAGAAAAGAGAAGCAGATGCTGAAGACTAAACAGTTATCTGAAGAAGTAAGAAAAGTGCTCAGATAACAAAGGTTATTCAGCTGTGTTAGAAACACTGAACAAAGCAACAGCCCAAGGACAATCTGGTTATATTCTTCTTTCCCTGAACTTCAGGAATCGTTGCAGTTGTACTAAAATTACAGCAAAAAAAGGTTTCTGAAGCTTGGCAAAGAAATGCTGGCTTAAGACTTCCTCCTCCTGCTGCACACCACCAACAGGAATTATAGATTCAAGCCCTGCATAGCTATGCAAAACCTCAGCCTTCCAAACCACCACCGGTAGAAGATAGATTTGATATTCATTACCTATTTTACCCTTTGACACTGGACAAGTATGAAGAGATTTAAATCACATTCTCCAGCAGATAAAACTGAAAAGGTGCAAATATGTGCAGGTACCTCTACAGCTCTGATCTGCCCAGCATACCTAGACATCTGACGCCATCCGACATCCAGAAGCGTTGTGTATGCACCCACTAATATGGCATCAAAGTAACATGGGATGAGGTAACGTGGAATTCTCTTCAGGTAGACAAACATGGCTTTCAACCATTTACCAACCTATTAAAATACAAGAGAATCAGAACTTGATAACACTAGGGTTCAAAACCAGTGCTTTCAGGATGCAGCTAGCTGAAGTATGTGTACATTTATTACACCCAAGTTATGCTTGGCTACCACAAAAATGAGATTCTCTTCTGTTACTAACACCACCATCAGCATGCAACCATTCACATTTTCAAAGCTGTCCATGATAGATATTTGTGGTAGAACTGCTGCACCCTCCTGCTCCTAAAGCAGTTGGGAAAAATCTGTGCTATATTTATTATGTCATAAATGGGCAAAACCACCAACTATAGAAAGAGTTTATATTTTGCTAGTCTGGTAGGAAAAACTCCAAATATCACGAAGAAGTTATCAAAACTGAGAAGCAAAGGAAAGCTGCAACTTGGAAAGCATCACTGCAACCCATGGGAAGGGTTCCTCATTGCTTATAAAGACAAGGTTGAAGAGATGAAGCTTGAGACAGTGATAGAAAAATTACCAGAAGGCTGAATTATTTACAGCCACTAGTGAAAAATTACTGCAGATCTGGGCCTAGGGCTCGAGATTCTGGAGCTTCACCTCCTCTGTGTCACTGTAAAGCATTCAACACATAGGAAGTATTTCTCCTGTTAAAAAAGCATTTTGACAACCTACTAGGAAGTTACTTGAGATTCAAACCTTGCAGATGAAGAAAGTAAGTGTCAATGTATTACATGATGACATTGTGCTTGTAACCTGGAAATTAGGAAGGGAAAGTACCTATCGCTATAGGTACTTTATATTTTCTGCAAAACAGAGTAAGACACTACAAAAGAACTCAAAAACTACACAGGAACAAACATGCAATAGTCTTTGAGGAGCAGTAAATTTGGCAAGTATCAGAGCAACTTCCTTTCTATAAAAGCTCTGTCTGTGAAATCGAACTCAACATTCACTTCAGTACATCAGCTGCTTTATCTATTCTTCTGCTTTCTTACACTTGACTTCAGGAATAAAATGAAGTAAGAATGCTAAAGCCTTTATTATTATATTCATTATGGAAGTTACTCAAATCAGTTCATCTTGTGAACTACAGCAATTGCCATGCAGGAAAATCAAATATGACAAAGAAAGAAAAGGACTGCATACAGGTAACCTGAATCTCAGCAATCCCTGTCTTCTCAGTGATTGACTGTGCCATCTTACAGTAACTCTATCATAATAATGTACACCTGGTGTTCAGGCCCTCTTTTGAAAGTACTTAAAGAAATAACAGTTACTTCATTTTTATGTGAGGAAAAGTAATAAACAGGGAAGGACCCTGCAAGCCTTTCCACCACAGCTATCCATCCCTCCATGCCCTAGGCAGTTTTCACTTTCCTTTTGCAGTCTATTCTTAAACAGGATTGAAGAGAGGGAAGAAAAATGGTGTCCTGGAAGTCCTACTAGAACTTGCCTAGACAAAAGGTGTTACAGACAGACTGAAGTTCAGAACAGAGCAGCAACTGAAAAGGAAATAAACTAGTCATTTAAAACCCCAAGGTCACCAAGTAAGTATTTTTACTCACTTCTGCACAGGCTGCTGCACGTGAAATCAGGCGATTACTGACATAATCAATCATCCAGTCACCAGATCTTAAATTGTCACAAAATGGATGACCTAAATCATTCTTTGGTCTAATGTCTGCCATCACGGACATTAACCCTGAAGATACAAACCCAACTCTGTATTAAAAGACACGCTGTTATCACAAATAGCAAGTACAATTCAGGAAGAAAAGGTACACAGCGCAACAGATGGTCTGGAGCACAAGTGTGATGGGGAACGGCTGAAGAACGTGGGGAGTTCAGTCTGGAGCAGAGAAAGCTCAGGGGGAACCTTATCTTTCCCTACAACTGCCTGACAGGAGGATGGAGCCAGGAGGGGCTTGCCTCTGCTGCCAAGGAACAAAGGATGGGACAGGAGGAAATGGCCTCAAGCTGCACCAGGGCAGGTTTAGATGGAGCTGAGGAACAATTCCTTCCCCACAGGGTGCTCAGGCATTGGAAGAGGCTGCCCAGGGCAGTGCTGGAGTCACCGTCCCTGCAAGTGTTCACACACCATGGAGACGAGGCCCTCAGTGCCATGGGTTAGGGGTGGCCTTGGCAGTACTGGGAATGGTTGGACTGGATGAGCTTAAAGGGCTTTTCCAAACCAGGTGATTCTGTGATTCTCTGCGAATTTAACTGCATTCTCTTGGTCTGCACAATGAGGTAGGATACAACTCAATAGCTGTTTCCACAGCATACATCATACAGAGTTACGAAAGTTGTGGAATAACTACGATGCAATTAATACATTTGAGAAGTGGTCAACAGTGCTCAGAATTTAGTAATGCTGAGTTTATTAATGTGACTTTTCACTGCAGATATATGTATTTTGGTTTTATTGTAAAAGCAATGGCATTGGGGTTAAAACACATATTGAAACTTCATTTTGCAGCCCAGAGTATCAAGAGAGAGGAGCTTTGGTTTAGTATATGATTTTTCTGGGTACAACTCTGATTAGCAGCATGGTCAAGCAGAAAAAAACCCTCACTTATGTTCTTTACTCAAACAATGGCACTAGTCATAAACCAGCATTAAGGTATGACCTATACTGGGCAGCTGTATGCGATGTTTTTTTTAACTTGACAGAAAAAAGAAAGCTGAAACTATTACCTTGGAGGCCTGCATACTTCAGTGATGACCAGTTTGGTATATTATAGCAGCCTCCACCATCTTCTCGCTCTTCTGCCTCACATCTATACAGCACTTGATTTAGGTCAGCCAAAGTCAGTTTAGATGCAATACTTTAAAAACAGTGGAGAAAACAAAAACAATTCTAAACCCAAAGAGCAGCATCAGTAGGGAAAGACAGAAGAGGATTTCATAAACAATGCTAGCTTCAGACTTCAATCAAAATAACTCACCACTTCATCCTGTAAATTAAGAGCCTAAATTTTGAGATGCTCTGCTCTGTTGCTTCACTATTTATTTAGAAACACAGTATTAAGTACAAACCCTGAACAGTCAAACCCCAACGCTGACAAGTACTCCATGTAGCATGTCCACTTTAAGCAGCAATTATACAGAACATGAACAAAAGAGCTCAGGAAGTTTTGAAGTTCTGAAGTATTAAACTTGCTTGTATTATACACAAAAAGAATCTCTCAGAGTTTTTGTTGCCTTCTGACAATCCAAATCTACCCTCAGAAGCAACAACAACAAAATCCTCACTGAGTTTGCAGAGCATTCTTTGCTCCCAAGTGTAGTTCTCTCGGTTCTACTTTAGAAACTGAAAGCATACTCACGAGGAGAACAACGTATTTAATATGGGTGCTGAATGATCATCAGGAAGACTTCCAGATTTAAAGTGAGGGCTGAACTGGATCAAGTGATTGCGGAGTACACCAACAGCCTCTTGTGCCTTTGGGTCAAGACTAACTCTGTAAAAACAAGTGCATAACTTGGAGAAATGGAGCACTTCAAATAACTATTCCCCAGTCTCAAAGCAAAGCAGCCCATCATTCTGTTTGCTAACACAGCTGTTGCCCAGCTATAACAACATACCTGAACACTATTACACTTCCTGGCGTCAGTTTTTCAAACTCTATTTCTTGAACAAATTCATTCGGCCCTTTTATGGCAGTTCCTGCTTGCTTTATGATTTTACTGTCCTTGATCTTTGAAAAGAGAACACATTTGCAACTGAAATTCAATGTTTTTTCTAAGGTAAAATAACACAAATGACAAAGTATTACACGAGAACATAGGGGAAGGAGGCTACCTGGATGTGCTCTCTGAGTTCCACTGTGAAATTAGGCAATCCATTTACAAAACGCTCATCTTTTTTGTAAGGACTGGCACTTCTCTCAATAGTCCGAGCCTCAAGTACTACTTCTTCTATTTTTCCTAAGAAAAGTTAAATCATATTGTAGCTGTTAAGATACTTGAAAAGGGGTTCTTTTGAAAACATGAAGCAAAACCTAAAACTAAATACCCAAATACTCCGAATGAAACCCTCAAATATTGAAAATACAAGTCTGTTATACAGCTAAAGAACAAGCAGATGTGAGGAAGTGTTTTAAATATCCTATAAACACTCACTACACACTCACTGTTGCACTGTATTTAAAAGTTTTGCTATTTCATAACTGAACCATAAAATCAGCCACCAATTAGTGAATTACAAACTGACTTCTCCTGATCTGTTAGTCTCTATTACCTTATAGGAGAAACCATAAGAATGGTTTCCAAACTGCAGCTACAGATGGATGGATCTAAGGCAGAAGTTCTTCCCTGTGAGGGTGCTGAGGCACTGGCACAGGGTGCCCAGAGAAGCTGTGGCTGCCCCATCCCTGGCAGTGTCCAAGGCCAGGTTGGACACAGGGGCTTGGAGCAAGCTGCTTTAGTATGAGGTGTGCCTGGCCATGGCAGGGGTTGGAACTGGATGGGCTTTAAGATTCTTTCCAACCCAAACCAGTCTGGGATCCTATTTTTATCTTCAAAGTGTAACAGCTACCATTATTATTCAAATGATCCAATTTTCTCTATCCTTTCAGTAAACTACAAACTAAGGTATACAGGTCTTGCAGCTGCTTGTAAATGTCTTAACATGTAATGTGACTAAAACAGGCACATGCACACAAAGAACTGAATATACTTAAAAAGCCAGTTTGGAAAGCTTCGCTTCAGAAGTGTGTTGAGGTAGTGTATAGAAGTTGTTATAATTTCCTGCTATTAAGTATAGTAAATACTTGCATATGGAGGTAATACATACATAATATTAATATTATCTCTATATTAACTTATGCACTACAAAGTTGTTTCTTAATATGTATTTTAAAACTACAAAAATAGTCATACACAAGGAAGCTAAACATCAATGACTTACAAATATGGTATTTTAGCCTTCACAGTATAGCACTTAATAGCAATCCCTGCCCCAGCTCTGTACAACTAACTTTCTTGCTGTTATTTCTTACCAGCTCACAAACAAGACAGCAAACAAAAGCACACCCTCATGGGGAGCTTCTAAGAGAAAGCAGACTCAACATGCCTTTGAAAACCCTAAGCAAGGTAAGCTTCTTATGGTTTATTTAACCACTTCTGGTGGATGCATGTTGGTACATATAAAAAGAGTGTTATATACTGAAAATTCTCAATCTGAAACACATGAAATCGGTATAAAAAGGATGGAATGAGAATAACTTGAATTTTTTGTATGCCTGCCATCTCTTGAAAAGAAATCTGATTACCTGGGATACACATTTCAGGTACTTCTTTACTGTAGAATGAAGTTTTAGGATCCCTGAAGGCAGTTCGACTTACAGCCACAACAGACTGGTGTGTGTTAGGGCAATGCCTTGTCACTGCCACTATGTCTTCATCAACTTGATCTACATACACCTAGAAAAGACAGACCATTGCAACTGTGCTCACTCACAACAGGAATATAGAGAAATCACAGTGGTACTCTCACTTCTTGCCTGATTAAAGCCTTTAGCCCCCAGCTCCTGATGCAGCCTGTTAATGGCCAGCCTTCCTGCTAGAATTCCCGTTTGGAAGTTAACTTCACCAGAAGCCAGGTGTGCTGCTGGATTCCATTTTGCATAAAACCTCTCTTCAGATACCACAGAGATCTGCAGAGAAATTAAGATTTAAGCAAATATCAGCTACTCTGGAAAAACAAAACAAACAAACAACTGGGGGTGACATGCTTTAGTGGTAGGCTTGGCAGTGCTGGCTTAACAGCTGGACTTTATGATCTCAAAGGTCTTTTTCAACCTGGCTGATTCTATATAATCAATTCAAATTTCATATGAAATCAGATAATCCAAAGTAACGCCAGCCAGTTAACTGCTTGAAATTTCAAATAAACAGCATAAAAGTATGTCCTAGGAGAAGAACAAAGCTTACATATCTAAAAAGAACTGAAGAGCTCAACTGCAGACACTTACCTGGTGTGGTACTAGTTCATCATAGCCTTTGGTGCTTCCTGTAGCACAGCATGCCATGGAAACAATCATTGCGCTGGGAAGGGCATCATATGCGGATCGATGCTACATTAAAAACACAGTGGAACAAAGACATAATTCATCCCTCCCAATTCAGCATGCAGAAGATATTCTCAGTTTAAAAGAGGAGTAAAAGTAACTACAAATGCATTAACAAAAGCAACTTGAGAGAAACCCATGAAAATAAGCATCCAGTTCCCACCACACTCTCATTCTCTCCTGTAGAGTGGCTTAGGAGAACAGGCTAAGAAGCAGAAACAGTGGCTGAAATGAAAAAAATCAAACCAGCTCATGAAGCAGCTTTATACGCTTTTTCCCTTAAAAGAAAAAATCCTGAGCACCAGAGGGAGTTGTGCTAAAATTCTATTCTCTGCACCACAACCTGAAGAACTGAAACACATTTTCACTCAATATTGCTCAGGGAAAACATTCAGCTTGTACCAAGCCTTCTCATGGCTCAGGCACAGCAAATCAGAAAACATTCAATATAAACTCTGGGGTTTCGTTTAGGTGCTCACCTGAATTGGACATTCATTATCATGGGTAATATCCATAAAGAGTGCATGAGCAATAGCCGGCATCAAAGGCCTCAAATGCGGCTGAACAAAAGAGCCAACGGGTTCACCTCCAAAACGATAAACTAACCTTCCTTCTTCATGGCTATTATAAGCAGTCATTGCCTCTAAAGAACAAAACAGGTAGACATTTGCATAAGAGTAACTACCATGGAGTAAAACATGCAGAAAGATGTTAATGCAGCACTTCACAGTTGTTACTTTGGTGTGTTCTATCATTAAAAAAACACAAAAATTGCATACAACTATATGCTCCAGTATGAATGTGCAACCCAGGAGTTGTTGAGCTAGTCAGTGTCATAGATTAAGGTAGAGAAAGCTAAGGGGGAAAAGGGAGAAAAAAAAGATCTCAAACTGTTCCTCACAGAAACTGATGTGACAGAAGTCAGACACAATGCAGCACCTGCACAGCAGAACTGCACTACAACCTCTTCCCTCACTAGAATAAGAGGGAAATATTTAACCACCTGTAAACTGATACAGGATGTCTTCTTTTACAGCTAGTACTGTATTTTCTGCTGAAGTATCAAGGAAGTCACAATACAAAAAAATGTACTTCTAGCTGCACAGAGTATGAAATTCATAGTGCATAATGCAGAAGCAACCTTTCCTTGGAACAAGCATGTATGTCATCTATCATCTCTTGTTGGGAACACAGTACACACAGAGCAAGCCTACCTCTTATTAAGGAGGTAATGCCCAGCCTATTCACAAAGATATTGTCCAGCTCCTCATTTCCAGTGAACAGCTCAGCCACTACATACAAATTGGCTCGCAATTTCCTAGCTGTGTCCAGCATGTACTGCAAAAAGCACAGCCAAAAAAGCCACAGAAAGGGGGGAAAGGTAGATACAAAAAAAGGACAAGTTTCAAAGCTAGGCAGGGAGTGGACAATAGGAAAATGCCATGCAGCAAAGATAAACCAGCAAAATTAAGGAACAAAAAAGTTCTTACACAGAAGAGGACACACAAACATAAGCAAAAATCAAGAAGTAGCATAAAACACAGGCAAGTTAAATAGAAAATGAAGAAGAGGTAATTGCACAAGCAAAGAACATGGATATTTAAGGAAAAAAAAAGGCATACCAATGTTAGTTTCACATTAAAAACCCCAAACCATACATGACAATCCTACATCATTTCCATCTGCTTATTGTACCTCTGATCAGGCTGGTAATTCCCAGGCGGTTGACAAAAATATTGTCAATGTACTCACTGCCCGTGAAGAGTTCAGCTACCACATAAAGATTAGGTCTGACTGATCTGGCTGTCGCTAGCATCTCCTATAGATCGTAATACATTTTTAATGCAAGGCATTGTCAGCTGTATATATGCAATCATGAACACAAACAGTAACCAAACTTAAGTAACTCATATATGCTGTTCATTAAAGAAATTCCTAGCAGTTAAGATGGATAAAAGCACATTTGTATTTTACAATCGATTCTAGGAAATTCTTTTAAAGAGTTAAAGCTAATTACAACTTTGGTTTGAAACAAAACTTAGCTCAAAATGGAAAAACAAAGGTTGGATAAAAGCGATACCTGTAAAGACTTCAGTTCTAGACTTCAAAGTTACCATTCCAAACCCAGTAACAATAAATGAAAGAATGGCAGAAGTTTGGAAATGGTTGCATTTAAGAGCTCCTGTGTGCACAACTCAACTCGTTTTAGAGAGCTCTTCACAGATGTGGGTAAGCTCTGTAACCAAGCTAAGGCTATGCACTGACAAGCTGTACTACTCAAACTCTACTTAAAGCTCATTTCCTAGGGAAGTACAATGTCTGGATGGAGTCAGCACCATAGTAAACAAGAAGCACTAATTGTAACAATAAGCCTGCCAGACAACTTGTTGCAGGTGTTCTTTCCCAACTTTTCAATTCTGGGAAGTAAACCTCTTCCTGATTAATTCAGCAATAGCAAAAATATGTATGACAAAGACACACCAAGACTTTGAACCATGTCTTGGCAATGACCCCAGATAAAACTGACATACTGCACCTTGGCAGTCACTGCACTTAGTCTGTAGATATGTGAGGGAAAGTTTAGCCAGGTCCATCTGCATGTGTAGTATTTCAGCTAAAGCAGAGAGGTGAAAGACACAATAGCTATACCCCTCTGTGACCTGCTTAAAGGAGCTGAAACCACACCTAACATCACCAGTCAAGAAACCTTTCTTATGCTATGAGGAAGATTCATTCACACCTGAACTCTGCTCTGTAGATCCTGCAAATTCCACAGCAGTGGAGCAGGACTGAGTTCAAAGGCAGAACCTGCTTTACAACAAACATGCCTAATTTTACATACCTCAGCTACATGAATGGGTGTTGAGTGACAGTTGTCAAGACGAACACCATGGAAATACTTGGCAGTGATTTCAGTGTATTTTTTCATGTGAGCCCACAGATAGGGGCAGTCTTCAGGTTTATTACCATAACGCAGCTTCACACTGTCTCCCCAGCAAATGAGCTCTCTTCTCAAGTAAACATTTGAGCCTGCAAGGGAAATAAATTCATTATAGCGTATATGTATAGTACAGAACATGTACCAAAACCAGAATGTGATATTTCATTTCCTAGAACACTGTGATGAAGAATAAAGATTCTAATAACGGTTATCAACTCAAAATCTACGTAGTCGACACTGACACACAATTTCAGAGTACTCCAAGGGAACAGATAACTTCTATAGTGATATTAATTCTTCAAATCGAAATAAAAATCCTTTTAATTCTTCTAAGTAGTATAAAAACGGTTCTTGAGAGGAAAAAAAAGAAGAAAAAGGCAGCAAAAAAATGAAGGGAATCAGTAGTTGGGGTTGTTTATACCAGCCAAATAGAAAAGCATATCTCTGTGTTACCATATACAAACTGCCACAGCCACAGTTTCAAATTCCATTTCTGTTACCAGCAGACCGATGCTGTAAGGCAAATTTCCAAAGTACTTAGGCCTGTAGGGCACTTAAATAGACAAAGTTCCTAAATAGCTTTTGTATGTATGAAAATAGTTACCCTTCATCTCACCTACTTTCACATACTAATTTTTTGCCTTCTTTTTGATACAATCAGTAACAAAAAATCTTTAAATCCGAGTTCATCTGTAATGTACTTACTGCACAGAATGCACTTATGGAGATTTAACTGTGACAAAGACTTAAATAATCAGTCAGATCTAAACCAAATGATTTCTGGCCTATATAAATCACTTATTTGACAGTGCAGCAATATACCACTTAAAAACCAAACACCAACACCCCACACTGTTTGCAACATGTAATATCCAGGACAAACATGGAAATGTCAATATACAGACCCACATAAGAGAAATACAATTGTATTTGAGCCATCAGTCTTCTGAAGGTCTATTTATATTCATCTTATCTAAACCTGATCAAAGCACAAGCAGGGTCAGCACCACTCAGGATGAGTAGGACATAGCTACTCCATTGCTTTCTGCTTTCCCAGCCCTGCTATACTGATGCACCACAAGTTATTTTAGTCGTTGAAGCTTGAATTAGATCAGGAAACTTGCTGAAAAGTAATCCTGGGTTAGCAAACATGGTTTTTCAGCCACACTGATTTCCTAAGCTCACATTATGGACACCTTACTGATTGGGCCTATACAATGAAAGATGCACAAGAGTATGAAACTAGTAAGTAAAGAGCAGGGACTGTAACTCACCTGAACTTCCAAAAGCATTCATTGAAGCACAGCCGACCTTTTATCTTCACTAATGGCAACACAGCCACATGGACAGAAAAACGCTTCCTTTGGATGAACACCATTCTTTTTGTAAGGGCCATTTACAGAACTAGCCACAATAGTTTTGCAAGTCCTATATTTGTGCCCTTATGTATCATATTTTCACAATGTATTCTCAGGTTCAGTAACATGTGTCACAAACCAAAGATACAACACAAGTATAAAGCACTCAAAAAGCTGTAGATGAATTAAGAGGATTATCAGGGGCTGGAGCACCTCCTGTACAAAAAGATAGGCTGTGAATACTGGGGCTGTTCAGCCTGGAGAAGAGAAGCTGCATGGAGACCTCAGAGCAGCTTCCAGTGTTTGAAGGGGGCTACAAGGATGCTGGAGAGGGACTCTTCATCAGGGACTGTAGTGATAGGACAAGGGGTGATGGGCTCAAACTGAAACAGGGGAAGTTCAGGCTGGATCTAAGGCAGAAGCTCTTCCCTGTGAGGGTGCTGAGGCACTGTCACAGGGTGCCCAGAGAAGCTGTGGCTGCTCCATCCCTGGCAGCGTTCAAGGCCAAGTTGGACACAGGGGCTTGGAGCAAGCTGCTCTAGCGTGAGGTGTCCCTGCCCATGGCAGGGGGTTGGAGCTGGATGAGCTGTAAGATCCTTCCAACCCAAACCAGTCTGTGTTTCTATGATTCCAAAAGAGAAAACTCAGTAATAGACATTATGTATGCCAACTAAAGCCAGAGACTGAAGGAAAGTCTGCCAGAAGAAAGGGGAATTAGCTGAAAGGCAACTGAACAAAACCCACCCTTGACACATACATTTTCATCCTTGTGAAGCAGGTTTAAAAAAAACAAACAAACAAAAATGAAACAGTAAATAAAAACTAGTGAAAGGGCTGTAGATTACTTTGCAAAAGTGAGGCATTTTCAAACTCCAGAGCACTCTGGAATATCAATTAGATTAGCTTCTAAAGCAGACTGTAACTCTTAGATTAGAATTAAACTGACCTTTGTTTGATTCAGTTTACGAAGTGAATGTCTACTCTGAAAACTAGAGTTGCCAATCTTGCTTTTATTGGTATCAGTGCTGTCCCAAAGGAGTTAGAATGCACTACTTTAGTGCATGGTTATTTCATACCCTGTCTTCCTTTCACAAGTAATCTGCATTCTTAATTTGGATGAACTGAGTCATCTCTTGACTGCCACTAAGTGGCCTTTTCAAGTATCCACTTTTTGCTCACTAATGCAGTAAAACACTATCCACCTTTCTATTGCATTAGCTTTCCGCCGCTGCCATTGTCTTATGGAAATGCAAACAAGCAGTGGTGTTGGAACAAAGTACAAAGTAAGCAGAAAAGACAATGACAAAAGCAGGGAGGCAGGATATCCCCATTTCAGTGGCAGAAAGCTGGTTATTTCCCTCTCAAATCTTGCAAAACTGCACCTCAAATCCCAGTTCTTATAGTTGATCTGTATGCTGAAAGGGAAATAAACTGCTGTAAACTGTCTGCTATTCTGCAGCTTCACAGGAATACACCTGGAAAAAAAAGGTACATTAAATAAAACCCTTTCTGCTTTGGTTAGAATATCAAAAGGTTTATAAGATCATTCAAAGTTTGTTTACAAACCTGGTTCTGCAAAGTTTCTAAGAGGATCATCTCCCATAACCCAGCCATTATGTGCCATGAAATAACAAGCTTTATCTGGTTGATGTATCATAGTTTCTTCTTCCTCCACTGTAAGCTCTTTGAATGGATAAGTGAAATACCTACGGAATAGACAGGCAATTAAAACAAGCCAACTACATAAAGTAACCTAAACTGAAACTTGGTGGTTTTGAAATTAAAATATCTGCTATGAAGTGGCTAGATAAACCAGATACAGACTAGACTATAAGTGGAGAGCTTCCTGTTTGGTAGCATGCCCTGAAGGAGAAAAGACAGGTGCTGCCACTATCTTGGTGTCAGCTGGTAGCACACAACTAAAGCCCTAGCGCTTCAGATACATGAATGGTGTCAAGTACATCAAACCTGACAGGTGTAAGCTTTCCCACTTCACCCCTCTTCCACCTATAAGAGCCGTTTCCACTACATATGACTTCATCGTGCTAAGTATTGTTTCATGCCCTGGTCACGTAAGTTACCACTGTGGCTTAAAAAAGACAATCAATTCATTAGGAAGCATTTTTCCATGGGGAAACAAAACTACACTTGTAGGCATAAATGTATACTTTTAACAAACTTTGAAGTCACTTTTCCTGGAAGATTCTGATAATTAAGAAAAAATAAATAGATATGTACCTGGTAACTAAAGGATATTTTCTAGTGATAGGACCCAGCTTAGGACCACCACCAGCCAGTCGTTCATAAACCACAGTGCCCACAAGACAATTGACAGCCTAGAAGTGATTAAATTAGGCATTATTGAAACTCCTATATTTCTTTGCAATTTAAAACAATTCAGCATTACAACACAAGTAATTATAAGACCTGCTCTTGATGGTGATGAGTTTGTCTCTGCTGTTCAGCATTCAATTCCTCAAGTCTCTTGCGAAACCAGTTACAACACTCTTCTATTGCAGCTGGTCCATTGCTTCTCAGGACATTGAAAGCAGAGAGCAATTTGAATAGTTTATTTTTAAAACATGCACTATGCATAACTATAAGAAACTTAAAAAGTCTTTTTTCCCATTTCTGAAAATAGTTCCATTTATTTGGTTTTACAAATTTAACTTAATTTGTGATTTTAACTTGTAATCAATAATACAATACCTGTGTGGTATGAATGTTGCCAAGGCTATATTCATATCTACAGTACAGCCAAACCGCCTATAATCAGGGTCCTGAACTACTTGAAGATGTTGATTTGGATCAGATTTAGTGCTCATTTTGCCTGAGAACAGGATAAAAAAAAAAGAGCATTCACCATAACATAGAAACAGGAATTTAAGAGGCACAACTTCCCTTTTTCTAGTATAAGCAAGATGCAGGTAGATAAAGGCTTTGAAGGGGTACAAAGTGTTCAAAGGCTTCACTAGCCCTCAGAGCATTTTTGTCTGCTTAAATCTGCGTGACAGATTGCTCACGGAGCAAAAACTGGTATTAGTCTGTTCTCCAGCTTACTGTTAAGTTTACCTGTAAGTTTCTTGTACTATAAATACATAATCCACATGCTTCAGCAACATACTCTTACTTTACCTTGAGTTAGAAGGGTTTTAAATTGCTGCACAGCTTTGTTAACATCCACTTGGAAAAATTCCCATAGTTTAATTTTTGGATACACATCTTCCCATATTATTTTACGGATACACTATAAGAATAAAAATCACGTTAGTTAATAATGTTGATAACTGATAGAATTAAGAAAAGCTAACTGCTCATGTGAATGGTTCAGGAAAAAGGAGTAAAGAGTTATTTCATTAAATATAACTGTAAAGCATGCGCCATTTTTAATGCATTTCCACAATCTTGGAAATATTACAGGTTTATTCAGCTATTTATAGTGTTCATTAGCTTATACTTGGTTATCAGTCACTTACATTCAGGTGATGATCATTTTCAATCAAGGGAGGAACCCCTTTAGCAGTATACTTTCCATCAGCCACCATACAGGTTAAGTGCCACAGAGCTCTATCCAAGACCCAAGCTGGCTTCAGGTGAGGAGAATTTACAAGGTTATAGCCACATTCTGGATGCATCCTGAGCCATTCACTGTTAGTGGCTTATTCCAGAAAGGGAGGGGAGAAAGAAAACAAAGTAAGTACACACACTGAACACTTTGTTGTTTTGTGTAAACATCCTAACACCAAGAAGTTAAGGTACTATGGCATGTATAGTTAGCTCATGTTTCAGCTAAAGTTTTCCATGTCTTATGCAGGTGTGCATTACTGCTAGCAGTTGTTTTGCAACAAATACAGTTGCAGAGGCCACAGAGAAACCTTGATAATTACATAAAAACATGCAATAGTACCAACAACTCTAAAACACTAAAAAAACAAAATCACATTTTTGTTGCAGGAAATACGTCAAACAATGGCCATGAAATGTTCTCTGTGTATTAAAAGCTAAACATACATCCCAAACCAAGATTTAAGATTACTCAAGTTTTTTGGGTTTTAATATTCTTAACCCTATCAGATGTTACACTCGCAGCCAGAGAGCAAGACTGCTACACACACTGCCCAAAAAGTGAATGAAAAATGTAGTTAAATGAGCTTTTTAGAAAGGCTTAGCTGTGAGCCTGTTGTGTACATAGGAAGTAGCAGACTAGTGGGCAGCGATGCCATCGAGCCTTACACAGGAAGATGAGTGCACACAAAGGGAACACTAGTTCAGCTCAAACATGTCACTTGACTGTTCTATCTTCTAAACAACCCTTGTAGGTATTGACAAGCACCAGAGGATGCACTGGACATTAAGAATTAAATCAGAGAAGGAAATGAGCCTTCGCTAGAAAATGGGTGTAATATTTGACATTGTTCAGTGGTGGAAGGGTTGGACTTGAGGTTCTTAAAGGACTTTTCCAACCTGGTTGATTCTATGATTCTAATAGACAGTAGTGTGCCTGTAGCAGCATGAGTAAATACATGTATGGCAGAGATGAATTTGATTTTGAAAGTATGACATGGAAGAAAAAAAAAAAAAACAGGAGTTCATTTATTTCCATTTTTGGAAGTGTCCTAAACACTGTTCAGCTGAAAATAATTTTTATAAATGCCTTTGGATGAATATCTGCAATTGGAAAAATAAATGTGAAAAGCACAGAATGCATAGGAACAAATACAATTTTTACTCAGGGTTTACAATTATTTTGTTGATAATCACTTCTCATAGAACACATCTTACTAGTCCACTGCATTAGAAAAGCAGGAAAAAACAGAAGTACTACTTCACACAAGGGAAAAATTATATTGCAAACATGAAGAGCCACTAATGTGTCAAAATTGTAGCAAACAATGAGTACCTAAACCCCAAATTTGCTTATTTCAAAGAAGTTCAAACAAAAATGTTAAAGGGAAAGAAAAGAGAATCCTTTCTCAGTCTATAGTACAACCAGCTCTTCCGAGCACACTCTTACATTATGTCTCCAAGACCATTATGAGCATGGCAGAATTCCATACTTATAAGGTCAAACCATTGGTGGAAATTAAGATCATCCTGGCTCAAATGCCACCTACAACTAAAAATACCTTACTTATTTTAAAGTTGCATAAAGCAACAACGAGCTCAGGTTGTTAGAGGCTGTTGCATTCTTATTTAAGAAAATAATTCCACATTTTTTAAAGAACTGTATTTCATATTTTTCAAAGGACATTGTTGTATAAACTAAGTTTGCTCATTGCCCTAGGTGACATTTTTTTCCTTCCCTTTATAAAGCTGAGAAAAAATGTTTGATATGATTATTCAAGTGCTTAAAGTAAGATTTGCCCAAGTGTTAAAGTCCAATTATACAGTAGTAGCCTCTTCTGAAAGATAAAGCAAGATATGATTTATTTTTGTCCATTTTTATTACTTCATGTGATTCATTATAGCCACTGAAAGCTCAGAAGAACAACCAAGCGACATTCCATTTTGCGTCTCCTGGTGAAAATTAAATGCCAGCAAACACAGTACTTCTTATGTGAGGGTGTTTGAACTCCTCAAAGGAAATGGCAGCCCTAAAAGGATACATCTACCCAGTTAACCAGCCATGGTTTGCAAGTTTATCTATGCTACTCAGGGTAACATGCCAAAAGGCGCATCTATATTTAACATTAGTACATGCACTGACTTTCATTTTCAAGCCAGGCCACAGATGCTGGCTTTCACTAGAGCCTAAAAGACACATTGCCATCAAAGCCTGACTCCCACTGATTTCCACTGTGCACACAGCCTGGCCTCCACTCCAGTGTGAAAACCAAGCACCTTTACTGCTTAATGCTGAGAGTGAGCTGCCTGACTTCCAGCAGGAACAGAGGGGAAACACTCCCACTTTTACACAGTGGTCTCAACTAGAATGCAGGGACTACCAACAGATACAGCCACTGTAGGCTGAGGGGTCATGAGCTGTGAGAATTATCAGCATTAGAGGATTTACCTCGAGACAACTTAAGCTTTAATGCAGACACTCTGCAGAATTAATAACAATGTACAAGTATTCATCATCTGCTCTAAGTAACTGCCTACACATTTTGTGACTTTTCCATTCAAATGGGGCTAATTAAACCACCCTAATGTGCAGGAATGAACTAATTTCACTACTAGAAATTGTTGTTCAATAAAACCAAACAAAAGTAAAGTTAAACTTCCACCTAATCGAGATTCAGACAAAAAGAACCCCCAAAACTACTTGCCTATTTTCTTATTTCAAAAGACCCCAAAAAAGCTCTACAGGCATATGCAACATTATTGCTTACTGACACATTTCTCAGCATATGCTTCTGTTTATGCCAAATTTGATGTTTAAGCTTGGAGTCTGTTGTAAATCAAGAGGTTTTGATTCTACACAACAAAGGTGGCCAGGAAATAGGAATTTAAAAGTGTGAAAGCAGGAAACAAAGGCATCAAAGTAGTTCTTGCTTAATGATGTTAAGTCAGGACCCAGACATATTTCTATCCTGTTAGGAGACTTCTAAACACCTAAACATCCTTTTACCATAGTACAAATCAATCATCCATCCCAATGAAGGTTACTTCAAACTCTGAATGTAACCTGAAAAAGCCCTTCTACAAATGTAGCCAATAAAGTGATATTTTTCTTCTCAAGCATATTTTGGAGTCTAATAGTTAGGTATTTCTGTCCATAAAAACATTTTCCTTGACAGCATGCATATACACACAATGAAAAGATGACAGTATCTCAAGCACATGCGAACAAAACTGGACTTCCCAGTTGGTGAAATGCAAGAAGTTTTTGATCTGAAAGTGGGAGGATGTTTAAAAGGCCTCATGTTTAACTGATTTAAAATTCCCTCAGACACAGAGCCAATAACTATACTTAGTAACTTCTCAGCAAACAGATATGGCAAACACAGGACCCACGCTGCATTACAGACTGATAAGAATATTGGGCAGCAGTCAACACCAAAGAACTAAAGCAAATAAAGTGAATTTCAAATTCACAGGTATCTCTTACTAGGTTTTTTTAAGCCTCAAAAGACTGCAACATAAACATACATAACTATTTGCTGTACTCTGCTATGAAGAAGTATGATCTTTAGGATTGCAGTGTAAAATGACAAGTGCATTATAAACATAATCAAAGCGAACTTATCCAAGTAATCAGCAAAACTACAAATGATGAAGTACTGTAAGTTTTATCAGATCACACTGAACAAAACCTGCTGCTCCTCAAGCAGTGAAGTAAAGCCTTCAGTGCATTGGCTTATACATGCTTAACCTCTCCCCCCCAAAAAAAACAAAGCTATGTCACACACACACAAACTGAGCTGTAACATTTCCTCCATAACTTAATCCCAGCCTCTTGTCCCTATTGTTTGTTGTCTGCATGTTAGATCCAAATTTGGACAGTTACTTTTAAGCAGCTACAAGAATAATCTCCTGTCTAGCAAGAGAGTACTCAGTTCATGTTCACCAAAAAATTCATACTGCAGATGCCATTCATTTATGTAGGAGCTGCACACTGCAGATCATAAAAATAACCATACTGTAAAAATACAGACACACGAACAGCTCATTAATTCTCTCTTAAGAAGGGCTCTATTCACTCTTTCACTAACAATAATGAATTCTTTTACACTGTTACAGAGACATATAATGTTATAATTGTAGAGAGTTGTCCTGGATTTGAGAGATTCAAAGGCAGAGACAAGTAAGTTGCTTAAAACAGCTACTAAAAGATGGTTTCAAGGGAGTGAAGTTAAGGTAAATAATGAAATACAATTATAGGACCAATCTGGTTATTAAACACACACAAAACAATCCTACCAGTATGATTGTAGACTACATCTGTGACACAAAGCATATTCCATTCAGTTTTCAGCTTTTCCACAAGAGCTCCTATATCACTCCAAGTGCACTGTTTACTAGGGCTTGAAAAGTCAGGATTTACTTCTAATTGATCAGCCAGTGAATAACATGATCTCGACAGTCCAAGCTTCTGCAGCGGCGTAAAATGAATCATGTTGTAACCTACATATTAAAAAAGCAATTTATTTAGTAAGAAAAAAAGATCTCATCCAAAGTGAATTGAAAGCAGCATAATAAATCGCAGTTATAACACGTACTTGAAGCTAAGGATTGGAATAACCAGTGTAAAATGATCTAAATCTTCCCCTTGAAATTCTGTGTAACACCAGCTTTAAATGACCCTGTCAGTTCTACAAACTTCCAAGTCTATCTGAAATCAAAACAATAAAACAAGAGAGGTTTCCCATCTTAGGAAATCCCTGAATTTTTACACCTCCTCAAATATTTTAATCATTTCACTGAATCTGTTAACTGAATTGAATCTAGTGGGAAATATTTAGTCTATAAACTGAAGAACAAATGAGCTGTTCCCACTGAGGCTCTTCAATGTACCTCTGGGTTTTGATCAGAAGACGAAAGTATATCCTTTAATACATGTCTGAGCATTACCTGTTTCTTTTGCAACTTTAAGCCTATCCTCCCATTCATGAAACGGTCCCATACACTTAGCGAGGAACGTCTGAAGGGTAACACAATCCAAAGGTAACACATCATTATCGGCTCCGACACGCAAAATAGGATCCACAACGATATAACCTCCACCACTTTTTTCATTTCTAGGGAAAAAAAACCCAAACATTTTCATAGGTATGGTAAACATCCATTGTACCAGCCAGTTTCAGAAGGAGAATCCAACAAGCACAACTATTTCAAAACCACAGTAACCCAGTACAGTGGCTGGGGGGAAGTGGGGAACAGGACTGCAGGGCACCTGAAGAGATGTTCATTTCTTAGGCATCATCTTCTCTCTACTAGGCTTACAAGAGTACAATTGCGATACAGAGCTTTAAACTCTGCAAAAGTGAGATGCCCTTGTTATTTTCTGAGGCAGAGTACTTCTCCCTCCTTGTGGGATAAACACAGACACAAAGAAAGCAAGGCTGCCCATCTTTTGTACAAAGTCTCCATTTAGAGCACCATCTTTGGGAAGATACCCAGAGCTAAATGCCCTTTTAAGCTTAAGGGAATTGGACCACCCAACTCAGAATACCAGACTACAATCATTACAGATGCTGGTATAACTTCTGCACTTGTCCTGTGAAAACAAAGAAGGAAATAAAGAGTGGGAAGTAAAGAATGCCAGAACCTTTTTCTAGAAAGAAAGCAACTTTCAAGTCAGTGAAGAAAGTACAAATTAATCATCCAAATACTCAGAATGCCGATGACTTTGAAAACCTGTAAAAATGGCTTGGCTCTCCAGCAGTCACCAAGAGTCTGTTCTGTGTATTCTCCAGAGTATCTACGCATCAGAAAGTATTAAACAAGCACCACAGCTACTGCCTTTCACTAGCAGATTCAGAGAGGCCCCACGATTGCAATTTGAAAAATGCATGAAAAAAATGCTTTTATTCTTAACTGTGGTTTCTTCAGGTTAAAAAGTAAACCAAGGCAACAAACTGCATCTGGCTGCAAGTGTATAATTTCACTTACCCGAGACTGAAATAGTACTGGTATGACCCAGAAATTTGGAGATCCAGCTTGCAGTATTTGTCAGAATCATCTTCTTTTCCTGTGGGATTGTGCCACGATAGCGTCCTGAACTTGTGGCGATCAAATACTTCTCCAGGAGCTGGATAATTTGTGTACACAGTCACAGGCTTGCCTTGAAGAGTTGGGCCCAGTCGGAATTGTAGTTCAAAGCCTCAAGAGATAAAAACACTTTATCAGGAAGATATTTCTATTCTGTAATTAAAAATCACTATTTGATATGACATTAAGAAGAAAGGGCATGAACATATCTGCCAAGAATTTTGCAGAATGATGTAATTCTGCAGTATTACCTCTCCCTACTTTCTTAACATTGTTCTCTGCACGTTACATATAGTCCTTTACTTATATGGATGGCACTATTCAACTCCTTTCCCATTTGTTCCTCTTTGCTGTATGTAAAGCCTTAAAAATAAAATTCAGCAAAACAATCATCAGGCTACACAAACTTTTATGCAGATTTTTGATTATATAGTATTTAAGTATTTAGGTTTACAAAGTCCATGTATTAAGCTGACCCATGAAAGCATCTGAAAAAAAAAAAATCAGGAACACATTTCAAAACAGAAAATATTTCAAATCCCTTCCTTCTTTATTGAGGGTTCACTAAACAAGGCTAAATTCCTTATGTTTTTAATTTTAGAATGATATATACTTCTGTGCCATCTACAGCATACAAGAAAGTTGCTAAACTTTCAGAGAGCTCAAGAAACCAAAGGGGGTTTTGCATACCTGCTGCAGCTCACACATACATAGAAAGAGCAGTATTTAGGCTGAAGATACTCATGTTGGGGACAAAATTAAGTTAAACTATTAGGTACTAAACCCATAGTGTAGTCTGTTAAGCTGGAAATGAACTATTCAGTTTAATCAATAGCTTTCAGAATCAGTTTCCACCTTCAGGCAGAGGGCCACCATCGTGTGCATGGCTAAGTACAGGGCCCCTTCAAGTGACTGGAACAGGTGTAAGTGCTTGCACAGTAACTTTTACTACATTACATGCCAGCCATGTAGTTAACTGTAGTGAACCACCTACTAGCTGGAGCAGTCTACAAAATTGGGAGTAAAAGAAACCTGAGGATTTGCAAAAAGAGGAAGTTCTTAATACACAGGTAACTAATTATAAAGTTTAAAAAAACCTGAACAATGGCAAGTTTCACTATCTTAAGTTGAAAAAGAGCAATTCATGGGTTCAGCATTCAATGTCTGAATACATTTAAATGTAAGTCTCACCAAGCTCACAGTTCCTCTTACTAACATAATGACCATTGCACAAAATCCCACTGTGTAAAGCAGTGGCTTTAGGATCTTTATGTTTGTCAGATAAAATGAAGCTCATTTACAGAGGAAAAAAAAAACCTTAACAGAAAAAAAAACAACCCACTTTTGGAAGGCTCAGTAGCCTCTCCCCAGCACTGTCCTGACATTTCATTGCAGGGATTACTAAAATTAGAAGACAGGGGTATATGCCATTGATATCTTATTTCCTGTAACGGTTACACTGACATCAGGAATGCTGTGCTTAAAAGTAGCTCTGCCCTCTCAGTGACTGCCACCAGCAGAGCACTTTGATAGCCACGCAATGTGTGACTCCTTCCAACAAAACTCACACAATGAGATAAAAACAGAGGTTAGGGTCAACTCTGCACATCTTCATTACTGACACTTCCTTAGCTCAGACTGTCAGGAAACTTTGAAATCCATACAGTTGAAGAAAAGACTTACTCCTAAGAGCCAAAATCTTACTCCTTCACTAAGACACTTTGATATTAGGCTCCTAGATCAGTAAAATGAAGTAATAAATCCTACAAAATTTCATGAGCAGTAAGATTCGTTGCACCATTAAAGAAGGTTTCTAGAAACGGCTTTAGCTTTATATTCTGAATTTGTTGAGCAGCATAATGGTGGACCAACTAGTGGGGATGTGGGTCTTGTTTGGTTTGGTTTTTTAGAGGGTTTTGGAGGTGTGTGTTTGTGGTGTGTGTTTCCAAATAGGCTTAAGAACACTTTCAGAGAGAGAGAACATTAAGATCTTACAAGCAGGCAGCCGGAACACTAACACAGCACAGCTCTAAGACATCTGACAGGCAACTTAAGATTCAGGAGGACCTAAAGAGCCCACATTCTGAAACGTTACCTCAGACTTTGCAAGGTATTACCATTATTGATATATTTCAAAATTATAAAGGGTGCAACATAACAGATTGCAGATAAACACTGGATTTATAAAGGCTTTTTGGAGTCACGTCAGTACATTATAAATGCTTTGCACTTCATTCCCGGGAGACCGGCAGCAGCAAAACCCGAACCCCACCGCAGGCTGATCTCCCTTTCCACTGCTGCCCGAAGGCGGTGGTGAGCTCCCGGTCCCAGGGACACCCCGCGAGGAGAAGGAGATGCAAGCAGTGTTTGAGGAGGCCGCTGGCCCCGACCTACCTTGCTCCAGCCTGAAGAGAGTCTTGTCCAGCTTCTCCATCTCGCCGAGGTGCAGCAGCCGCGTCTCCTTACCGGCCAGCATGGCTGCGGCCGGCTGCCCGAAGCTCCTCCCGCACCGGCAAACTCACTTCGGGGACGGAAAAGCAAGCCCTGCCATAAGGAAACACAAACAAAACCCGCACAGGTCAGCGGCGACCCCCGCGGGACGGCGGCCGATGGGCACGCCTCACGCCGCCGCTCCCGCTTACATGTTCCCCAGCGCCGGGGGAGCGCAGGGACGAAGCGCTGCAGGGCAGGGAGAAGGGTGCGAGGGAGCTGTCAGGAGGCGCCCAGCCCTGCCCTGGCACCGCCGCCGGCAGCACCTCGGGTGCGCTCCGCGTCCCACAGCGCGGCCCGGCCCGCAGCCAGAGCCCCGGGGGGGCAGGGCTGACACCTGTCACTGCGCTCGCCCGCCCCGGTACTGCCGGGCCCCTCATCGCCGCGCTGTCTGCGCGCAACGGCGCCCGCCTCACCGCCCCTCCATACTCACGAGCGGGCCCGCGGAGCGGCGGAGGTGCAGCTCCCCGCCGAGGCCGAGAGAAGCCGGGGCGGGAGGTGCGGGGGCAGCGGCAGTGCGGGCCCGGGCAGGCACTCGCGCACTCGCCCGCGGCAGTACCGCGCTTTTTCCTTCCCTTTTCTTCGGTTTTCTTGACACAAACTTTATCGGCTCCGCGGCGTACGCGCACGGAGACGGGCGGCGCCTGCGCAGCTCCCGCGAGAGCCCAGGGCCCGCCCCGGCAGCGGTGCGGGGCTGGGCCAGGCCGGGCTGGGCCCACCCCGCCGCTGGAAGCGCGCCCCGGGGGAAGAGTTGCCTCAGGAGGGACCTCCGTCCCCGGTGCGGCTGCGGGCGGGCTGAGCTCTCCGCCAGCCGGACCTCGGAGCGCACCAGGACGCGCAGCGAGCCGATGGCAAGCCCCTGCGTTTACAGCCATAGCCCCCACCACGGCGTGAGGGGCCGCCCGCCACCGGGGGCTCGGGCCAACGCTCCGTGTGATTTAACGGGCGTTCCGCTGAGGAAAACGTGGCTTTAAACGGTGCCTGGAGTGGCTCCTTGCGGCGATGGAAACGCCGCTCCAAGGGGCTTCCGAGACCGATCCCGCCCCGCCGCCTCTGGGGCCGCGCCGCAGGCACACAGCGGCCGGCTCCTGCAGAACAAACATGGTGTCAGCCAGCGTTTAGGTGCTGTATATAGGGTGTGGAAAGGGGCTGCGGGGATCCGCCTCAGCAAGAGGTAAGGTGGTTTTAAACAGAAACACCACTCCAGACCCCAAAACCCACCCTCCTTGTTTTGGAGCATCCTCGTGTGATAAACACATAAATGTATTGGCTTTCGCAAATCGTAGGTGTGGTTATGTGGATATAACTGTACGAGTTTACAATAACAAACAAAACACGCTAAAACCACAAGACTAGACAAGAAGTTAAAAAGGTTCAGATCTCGACCAAAATGGAGTCACATAGCAAAAGAATTTGTAAAGGTAAAAGAAGGGGGGGGGGCGTTGAAGCTTGATGTAAGAAAAGCTAGTGCCTAGAAAACATGAAGTACTTTTTAGCTTAGGTTGTAGAAAGAGAACAATGTTTATGTTGTAAGTCTGTGAAATGTAGTGGCCCCACTAAACATGAGTTAATTGTTTCACACTAGTTTCTAAAGTAGTTTTAAAGAGCAATGTTTGTGTTGTAAGTCGTGAGATAACAGGATTTAGTGGCCCCACTAAACATGAATGAATTATTTCACACCATCCTTCTACTTATCAGTTAGTTTAGAGACAGAGCCTCCCAAACATCTGCTAGCTTGGGATACTCCTTGTCTGCCCATCCTGCAATAAATTTTGCAGGAAGGTCACACTGTTTTAAATCTTTGCTAGTTATCAGAATAATTACAGATATAGCTGGTTGTGTGATTACTGGAGGGTCCAACTGTGCCAAAGGTGAAAAGTACACTGTGAGGAAGACTGCTTACTTCATCTTGAAGACACCTACTCACAAAAGGAAGACTGTTTACTTCATCCTCAAGACCCCTGCCCACAATCACCACAGAGCAGTGCGCAGACGCCAAGAGGAGGAGACTTATGATAATAAGTTATAATATCCCCTCCCTATATGCGGGAATTATGAATATGTGTGTAACTAATGTAATAGTGGAAGTATATAAACCTGTAACAAATACTAGTCACTTGTGCCTCTGGTTACGGTCATGCACCCAGCGCTGTTGCTTTTGCTTTGTTGACTTTATCCCTCAATAAAAGCTTGTTATCTTGTTTAGAGGAGTGAGTTCATATTTCACACTGGTCACCAGACAGCCCTTCCCATTGGTTTGTGTTGCAGAATACTTGGAACGGTTGTTCCAGGCCTTTCACCACCTAAGTCATTGACTGCACCCCACTGCAAAGGTCACCCACCCTTGCAGCTTCGGAAGGTCAGTTTATTTTTATTGCCTAGAACTACCTAAAATGAAACAATACCACCAACAAAGTGCTTCTCAATTTACAGCCATGGTGTCATTATACTGTTTATTGCTTTTTTATTTTCAAAGTATTTTGTGGACTTGGGAGGAGCCTGTAAAACAATTTTAGACAACTATTTTACTTCCAGTCATCCCATGCATAGCCTTATAATTGTGTCTTACTGCAGTGTGTTCACCTGATTACGACACATTTAGGGTCGAATGTAAGGAGGAAGTTCTTTACTGTGGTGAGGCACTGGAATGGGTTGCCCAGGGAAGCTGTGAATGCTCCATCCCTGGCGGTGTTCAAGGCCAGGTTGGACAGAGCCTTGGGTGACATGGTTTAGTGTGAGGTGTCCCTGCCCATGGCAGGGGGGGTGGAACTGGATGATCTTAAGGTCCTTTCCAACCCTAACTGTTCTATGATTCTATGATATGCATGGAGGCACTTCCACCCAGTTCAAACTGAGTCTTTTACCTTTTGGTAGCTGTTTTTTTGCCTTGCCTCCTTCACTTGCTCCTCCCTCTGAACATGTGCTTATTCTTCATTACAGTTCATGTTTTTCTGGTATTGTTGAGAGAGGTTTTCATGTTGGTGTAAGTGATGAACATGTCAGCTTTTATGCCCCAACAATATTACAGTCCCTAGAGAGACTGGGGGAAAATTCCTAGTAAAAGCCCCTGTGTGTTTGTGCAGTTCCCTTAAATTCACCTCAGTGAGACTCATTCAGATAGGATTCAAAAGTGATACTTTCAATCTGGATTATTTTACATGAATGTTTCCTGGGGGCCCAGTAGGATTCTCTCATCTTCCTTGTCTTTCCTTGCCCCCCTGTTTCCTACTCAGCTTTCAGGCCTGTGTGCTTTGTGTACAAGGACAGACTTGCACCTAGCAGAAACCCACCTCTCCTGGTTTGCTGGCTGTTTTCTCTGAATAGGATGTGACCTAGCAAAGAAGATATAACGTAGGAATGGGAAACACAAGATGCTCCAACAGGTATGGAAGTTTTAGGAATAAAACCAACAGACATATTGTTGAAATGGATCTAGACCACCTCTTTGCTGTGGTCCTCGGCAGGCTTCAGCAGCCGGAAGTGACTCTCTGCCGCAGAGCCTCGTACAAGAGTCTCTGCCTCCAGGCTTGCTATTGTCCTGCAGCATTCTGTTATTGTGGGATTTAGAAATTCCCTGAGCTGCTTAGGCAGTGAATGCTTCTAAGAGAAGAAGAGCAAATAATTTCTATGTAGTCAAGTCCTTTGCATTAATAGTTACCCTAAAGTGCATGTTGAATACCTTATGAAAAGAAAAACCCCAAAGGGTACCACTAAAGGCAATTTCACCACTGCTACTAAGTTTTAAAATGTGCCTCCACTATACTGTGCATTTAGACAGGTTTTGAAATGCATCCAAGTTTGTGAAAAGGGATTTTGAAGTTTCTCAAGATAAAAAACATTAGGAAACCAAACTAGCAGAGAGCCTCCTGGTTCCAAATCCTAAAGCAGTTATTTTGACCAACAGTTGTGGCTGTAGCTAAAACAGATGTCAACAGTCTGAATGAAGGACACGATCCATTGCACATCAAAAAAGTTCCCTGAGTACTATTGAATCACTTAGTGACTAGAACAGTATCATTTCATTTGCCTACAATTCAATATGAAAAAAATTACTATTACAAAGATACTGAATGATTATAGCAGGTTTATGAAGTTTAATCAGGAAAACGGAGCAGATTGCTCTAATCCTTTCTCTGTCAGCTTACGCTGACACATCCCCCACAGACTTTGGACTGTGTTAGCAGACATAAATTGAGCAGTCTTTCTGTATATGGGAACCACACCAGCAAAACATTAGTGCACAAGTGCTACCATTTAGCATTGTAGATTTTGTGTAGGACACGGCCAACAGCAATCAATCATGGCATTTGCTATACTAGCATCTAAATGGTGGATTTGACAGTGCCGTTTTACCTTCAGTTTGCAGTTTCTCTATGTGTGATATGATATACCACAGCAGGAAAAGATCAATAGTTGCTTCAAAGTAAGAGTGGATACCATATCAATGTCATTATCTGGAAATAATTTCCCAGCTTTTTCAATTATATTCATACCCAAATCCTTCCATTCTTTTACATCCATCTTCTTAGTACTCCCTCCCCTCCCACTTTCTGTTTTGCATCACAGGATTACAGAACACTTCCCCTAGCAGTGGCTTCAGTACACTTTGGGGAGCCCATTTACTAGGTGTCAGATGTCATATTGCTTTATGCCTGTTTTAAAGGTTATGAGTGCAAAGTGGGGGAACTTTAAGTACTTGCGTAACAGTCCTCCTTTTTAGAAATAATTAGTTTTAATAACAGAGCAATAGCTCCCAATGACAACAGTAAAAGCCAGCTAGCAGAGAGAGACCTTAACTGACAGCTAACTAAAATTAAATGCAGATTCCTTTGGCCTGTGTGCAGGAGTAAGAGACTTCATAACATTTAAAGTGAGAGCACAGTTTTCCTCAATGCCCCACACCCATGACCTGTAAATTCATGAGTTCACAGTGGGCTGTGGTTCAAACAATAGGAAGCTTCAGAGTTGTTGACTCTTCTGTCGAGCTGTCCTCTTCTAACGGGGCGATCTCGTCCAGAAATGCAACCCTGATTGTAAAGAAAGCTTGTTTTCTTTAAAACTCTCTCTGCAATTTGATGAGACTGAAGTCTTTTCTGTGAGTTAGAGCTTTCCTATGCAGTGGCTGAAAACAAATGCTGTTCTTAGACAAGTTACATGCCCTGCAGGAAATTACACGTGGCCTTGGACCTTAGAATCTAGTATTAAGAGAAAAGATTGGTCAGAACATTGAAGTAGTGACCTGTAGCCTATTTTTCTCAAATGCCTTTTAAATAGATAAACAGATTGCATTAGCCTGATAGGCAGTGAATAACTAGTAGGCTGAAATAAAAATATCTATATAAATAAGAGACCAAATGAGATGGAGAGGCTAGGACACTAGCCTGTGCAGTTTGCTCTTACTGAACTTGTAAATGCCCTTTCCTCTAGTTACTTGGCACTGTTGGTTTGACCTTTCAAAGGTGAACCTGGTGTCATCAGAAAATTTTGGATTGCAGACATATTTTTTG